ACAGCCACCCAAAGACTGCAGAGGTAAGCAGCAACAGTCCCCGAAAGCGACCCCTGCGATCTCAGCTAGCTAGCTAGCTAGCTGGCTAGCTGGCTAGTTATCCAGCTGGCTAGCTGGCTAGCTAGCTAGGTCGCTAGCTGGCGAGCTAGCTAGCTAGCTAGGCTGCTAGCTAGCTACCTATCTAGCTCTAGCTAACCAGCAGCCGCAGGAGCTCTGGGTGGCCAGATAGCTGGCTAGCTAGCTAGCTGCCTAGCTGGCTATTGAGCTGCCGCAGGGGCCCTGGGTGGCCAGCTAGCTATAGGAAACTAGCTGTGTGTCTAGCTATAAGTGACTACACCTCAAGAAGGCGCTGCTCAAGTAGGCCACGGCTTTTCTTAGAAGGGCTTCAGACCTCCAAGGGCTCAAGGCCTCCCTGGACCCTCTGAAGCCCCCTAGGGGCCCCCAGGGGGCCCCCCTTGGGGGCCCCCAAGGGGGCCCCAGGGGGCCCCCAGGGGGCAGGGGAGCCTGGGGAACGCCAGGAGGACCCACCTAAAGCAGAAGAAAAGGCAGCAGCCAAGTCGAGGAGGTCGAGAGTCAGGACGAGAGTGAGGTCTACGAGGATCATAACTCGGTTTGCAGAGGGGCCCCTCAAGGGGCTGGCGCCCCAGGCCCCCTTGTGGGGTGTGGGGGCCCCGGGGCCCCCCAGGGGCCCCTCGGAGTAGAGGTAGGAGCAGGCCACGAAGGACAGGAACACCAAGGGGGTCAAGAAGACGCAGCAGCTCGCCAGGTAAACAGCTGTAGAAGCAGCGCAGCAGCAGCAGCAGCAGAAGCGGGCCTCAGCAGCGTGGGGCGGAGGGGTGGGGTGTGGGGTTCAGGTGTACGTACAGCTGCTGCGCAAGCTGCACCAGCCTCACTTGCTCTGTCTGCACTTGAAAAGATAAGGTAAAGGGCCTCAAAGCGGTGGGTCTTGGGGGCCATTTGGGGGGCCCCCCAAATGCCCCAGACAAAAGGGCATGCAGCCAGTTTCACTGCCAAGAGGCAGCAGTGCAGCAGCCACTGCAGCGAGCAGAGGGTTCCCAGTCGGTCTTTCGCAGCCACTGCAGGAAGCAAAGACACAAACAGGCCTGCGCAGCAGCAGCAGCAGCAGCAGCAGCAGCAGCAGCAGCAGCAAGCAGCAGACGCAGCGAACGCCAGCTTTGTGCTTCTTGATGCAAACGCAAATTCAAATCTTTTAACGAAAATGCGACCAATTCGATCTATGAGCCCTTTAAATGCCACAGTAAAAACAAGTGCACACACACACATATACATATTATATATAATATATATATATGTATTTATACATATATATATATATATATATATATTATATATATATATGTATAGGTATGTATACATATATGCATTTGTCTGCATGCATACATATATATACATATATATGCATCCATATGCACTTGTTTTGATAATGGGATTGAAGGGGCTCAAACATCGAACTGCATGCGGCTACATTATGCCATATATGCTGCAGCTGCACTTTGCCCCGCTGCTTCTGCTACTTCTGCTGCTGCTGCTGCTGCTGCCGCTGCTGCTGCTGCTGCACATAAAGTCAGGAGGACCCTCACCTAGGGCTATATCGACGGCGAGGAAGACGCTAAGGTAATGAGTGTGCCCCCAGCTGGCCTCGGGGGCCCCGGGGGCCCTCCTGCTGCTGTCTCTGAGCAGCAGCAGCAAGCTCAGGGCAACTTGCTGCAGCCCGGAGAGCCAAAAGGGCACAGCAGCGGGCAGCGGCTGCAGCAGCTGCAGCAGGAGGGGCCCCACACCTCGACGCCCCATTGGTCGCTAGGGCTCACCATCCCAGAGTTTCCAGTTTTCAGGTTTCCCCGCTATTGGGACAGCAGCAGGAGTTTGTAATTGTTATTTTACTTGAAGTCGGAGTTTGGAAGACAAAATAAATAAAGAATGCAAACTAAACCGCTCTGTTCGCTCCGGAGGTGACCCTCTGGCCAAAGGGGGCCCCCAGGGCCCCCCAAGAGACGGAGGTTAAGGGAATTGGCGGCTCTGGAAGTTTTATTAGTTTTTGTTTAGTGTTGAATTCAGGTGTACGTACACCCCAGCTGCTGCCGCCAGCTGAGGCAGACAGGCAGCAGCTAGCGAGCAGCAGTGACCCTCCGCTGGGATCGATCGATCCCAGCTCCGCAGACTGTGTTTGAATCCGCTCCAGCTTCCCCACAAAATTAATTCTAAATTTCTCTTTCTGCAGCGAAGCTTCCCCAGCGCCCCGCAGAAGAGCGTGGGGCCCCTGCAGCTGCTGCAGGGGGAACCGCTGCAGCAGCAAAGCAGCAGCAAAGGGGTCCAAAAGGGCCCCTTGCTGCTGCACTCAGCACTTGTGGGCAAATGGAATACTCCCGGAGACAAAAGCTGAGAACAAAAGCCAGAAAGACAGGCAGCAGCAGCACAGCAGCAGAAGCCATACCAAAAATGCTGCTGAGAGCCAGAGCCTAGGATGGTTCAAGGCAGCCTGCTGCAGCGCCGCTGCAGCGTTTAGACGCGGGAACCCCCGCTGCAGCAGCAGCAGAAGCAAGTCCTGCTGCTGCGACAGCTGCAGCGGGAAACAGCGTGCTGTGGGTCAAGAGAACCCTGAGACGCAGAGGCCCACAGAAGCAGCAGCAGCAGCAGCAACGCAGCAGCAGCAGCGTAAGCAAAAGACACTAAGTGCTGCAGCAGCGAGTGAACACGCAACGCCAGTGAGAGCCGAAGGCGGGATAGGGGCCGCAGAAAGACGGGGCCCCAAGTACCCATTGTATCTCCGCCACTGCCTAGGGTTTAGGGTTTAGGGTTTAGGGTTTGCTCGCCTCCACGGGGCTGTCAGCAAACCCAGGCCGCCACCGCTAGCCTCTGCTGCAGCGTTGGCTGTGGCAGGCGCTGCACAGCGCGTCGAACCCCCGCTGCAGCAGCAGCAGCAGTTGCTGCTGCTGCAGCGGCTGCTGCAGCGTCTAGAAGCTGTACTGCAACTATGCTGGGCTGCCCCAAATCTGCCTAGCTAGGATATTTCTTATCGGGGTTCTGCTTGTCTCTTAGAGCAGCAGCTCGCTGCAATTTGCCCACAACTGCGTTTTCTTATTTCTCATTCATAACTAGCTATCCCTTGCACAGCCCCCTGCCTACTGCGCGCTGCTGCTGCTGCAGCTGCTGCTGCTGCTGGCGCTGCCGCTGCTGCAGCAGGCGCTGCTGCAGCTGCTGCTGCTGCGGGCGCTGCTGCAGCTGCTGCTGCAGCTGCTGCCGCAGGCGTTGCTGCAGTGGGTGGTACCAGTAGGCAAACTCACGGAAGGCAGCCGCTCGCTGCTGCTGAGCAGCAGCAGCGAGGAAGCCTTGCTGCTACTGAGCAGCAGCAGCAGCAAAGCCTCGCTGCTTCTGTCCTAAAAAGACACCCCAAAATGGCTTAGGTGTGCCTTGCCCGGATCAGTCTAGCGGAGCAGCTGGGGGCAGCTGCTCCTTTTGCTTCGAGGGGCTCCGTTGGAGCCTCCTCAGCTACTGCTGCTGCTGCTGCTGCACCTGCTGCTGCTCTCGCAGGAGCAGCAGCAGCAAACAGCTTGTCGCGGGCCCAGCAAACCCGGGACCCTAGTTGATTAAAGGTTCACCCCCGCAGCTCTTTCGCTTGAGTTGCTGCTGCGGTTTGGACCCAAGCTGGGTGCCCATAAAATAAGGAGCAACGGGAAAACGCTGTGTTGTCGCTGTGAGTTTGGCTTCGGCTGCAGCAGCAGCAGCTGCTGCTGCTGCTGCCGCTGCTGCTGCTGTTGCCGACGCTGTTGCTTGTGCAGCCGCCACAGCACGCGCTCTTTCTGTGCCTGCAGCAACCTCCTTGCTGCTGCTCACGCAGCAGCAAACTCCGTTGCTGCTTCGGCTGTGGCGCTCTTGCTGTGGCTGCTGGATTCGACGCTGTTGCTGCCGCTGCAGTGACGCTGTTGCTGCTGCTGCAGCAGATGCTTGTGCTACTGCTGCAGCGGCTCTCTTGCTTCTGCTGCAGTAGAGTCTTGTGCTACTGCTGCAGAGACGCTGCTGCTGCTCCAGTATCGCTGTCGCTACTGCAGCGACACCGTTACTGCTGCTGCAGCACAGGCTTGTGCTGCTGTTGATGACGCTGTTGCTACTGCTGCAGTGAGGCTCTTGCTGCTGCTGCTGCAGTAGTTCTTGTTCCTGATGCTGCAGTGGCGCTGTTGCTGCTGCTGAGAACGCTGCCGATCGTGCAGTAGATGATTTTGCTGCTGACCCTGCAGTGTCAGCTGCTACCGTTGCAGAAGGAACTGCTGCTGCTGCTGCAGCAGCAGCAGCTGCTGCTGCTGCTGCTGCTGCAGGAAACAGTGCCGCTGCAGCAGTTGACGCTGCCTTGGCGCTGCGGTGTTGAGGATAACGCTGCCGCTGTTTCTCTTGTAGTCGCTGCCTGGGCTATTTTGCTGCTGCTGCTACGAGTGCTGCTGCAACACTTTTCGCCCCTTTATCGCTGCCTAGCCTGCGTTTGGCTGCTTCTGCTGCTGCTGCTGTTCGGGTGTCTGCGCAGACACCCCCACGCGATCTTCTTCGCTGTCCCAAATCAAAGATACCCCGGCGGGGGCGCAAACATCGCTGTATTGTTTCCTGCTGCTGCTGCTGCTGCAGCAGCAGCAGCAGCAGGAAACAGAAGCGCCAGAAACGATGCACGCTCTCTACCGCTGAAGGGGGGGCCACTCCGCGGTGTCGGCGCAGCAGCTGCGGGACTCTAAAGCCTTCCTGCCGCTGCTGCTGCTGCTGCTGCGGTGGCTGCTGCTGCTGCTGCGGTCGCTGCTGCTGCCGCCAATACTGCTGCGGTGGTGCTGAAGCTGGCTTGAGGTAAAGGCGAGTGAAGGTCCAAAGCAAGCGGAAGCTGTTGAGGGTCGGTAAGGGCGTAGCTGCTGCTGCTGCTGCTGCTGCTACAGCTGCTGAAGCTGCTGCTGCTGCAGTACCTGCTGCTGCTGCCACCGCTGTAGTGAAGAGGAGAGCACTTGGGACTATGGCGCTGCTGCTCTGCCAGTGAGCTGCAGCAGCAGTGAAGCCCTTCTGCGTCTCCTGGCTGCTGCTGCAGCCAAGGATTCTGTGGGTGTCGCTGCCGTCCCCCTTTGTACGCCGCTGCTGCTGCTGCTGCTGCTGCTGCTGCAGCTGGCGGACAAAGAAAGGCACATGAAGACTGTTTCAGGTGGAGCTGGGTCTTTCTGCGGGGTCCGCAGCAGCAGCTGCAGCAGACACTGCGGGCAGCAGCATCTGCTGCAGCTGCTGCAGGCCTTAGCAGCTTGGGAAGGTGTGGTCGGTTTGGGCAGCGTAGGGTGTCGCCGGCTGCGCCGTATACCCTTTTGCTGCTGCTGCTGGGGGTGCTGCTGGGGACTGCGCTGCTGTTGCTGCTGCAGGGTCCTGAAGGCTTTCGTGGAGCTGCTGCTGCGGCTGCTGCACGGGCGTGGCTGCCGCATGGACGTTGAATCTCTGGGGCTGCTGCTGCTGCGGCAGGGGCGACTGGGGCATGTGCTGCTGCAGCTGCTGCTGGTGCTGGTGCTGCTGCTGCTGGTGCTGCTGGTGCTGCTGCTGCTGGTGCTGCTGCTGCTGCTGGCGCTTGGTGGGCTGCTGCGCAGCAGCAGGGGAAATGAGATGCATGGCCGCGTGTCTTTCCTCGCCCTTTTTAATGGACACGTTGAGGCGTTTGTTGCTGACGAGGCAGTTGTTCATGGCGTTGACAGCAGCAGCAGCAGCAGCAGGAGTGGTGTAAGACACGAAGCCGAAGCCTTTGTTTCTGCCGCTTTCTTTGTCGAGTGCAACATAACAAGACACAACAGCTCCGAAGCCCCCAAAGGCACTCAGCAGCTGCTGCCTCCCCCAGTCTTTGGGAATATGAAAGACGAAGATGTTGGCCCCTGGGGGCCCCGTGGGTTCGCTGCCAATTTGGAGGAAGCCGCCCCTGCTGCTGCTGCTGCTGCTGCTGCAGCCGGCGCTGCAGCTGCACAGCACGTCGAACTCCGGCGGCTTCTGCCAAGTCGTGACGTTTTCTGCTGCATTGTGGTAGTAAGGCATGCAGTCAGCAGTGAAGTATTCTCTCCAGGGGCCGGCTTGCCTGGGGTTGAAGTTCTTGGCTGCTGCTGCTGCTGCTGCGGCGACGGGGGAGAGGCGCTGCTGCTGGAGCAGGAGCTGCTGCTGCTGCTGCTGCTGGAGCTGCTGCTGCTGCTGCAGCTGCTGCAGCAGCTGGGGCGGCGGCTGCTGCTTGACCTTGGTCTCGGCGAAGCGCACGTCCACGGGCCGCGAACAACCCCGGAAAGTGTGTTTTCCAGAAAGAGACTTAATTGCAAAAAGAGCTTCTTCTTTGTACTTGTACTTGATGAAGGCGCAGCCTTTGCTGCTGCCCCCGCTGCTGCTGTCCCGCAAGATGAAGACTTCCTCCACGGAGCCGTAGGCGCTGAAGAACGCCCGCAGCTCCTCTTCTGCTGCAGTCCGCGGGATCGACCCCACAAACAGCTTCGCCTTGTCCACCCCCCCGTCAGCAGCAGCAGCAGCAAGCCCCAGTCTTTCTGCTTCTCCTGCTGCATACTTCACAGCGATGGGGCCCGAGCCCTCCTCCAGCGACAGCACCCCGTGCAGCGCGCGAATCGCCGCGTCCGCAAACGCCAGCGAGCCTGCGAAACCCAACCCCAAACCCCAAACCCTAAACCCTAAACCCTAAACCCTAAACCCTAAACACTGGAAACCCGAGCCCCCGCGCGCGCAGCCACGTTCAACTCGCCCTGGCGGGGGGCCCGCGCTCGCCAGAAACACGCAACCCGGCGCCCCGCAGAAAGAGCCAACCGAACCCCAAACCCTAAACCCTAAACCCTAAACCCTAAACCCTAAACCCCGCGCACGGCGGCCTACGCGTGCGCGCGGGCCGCCCGCTGCTGCGCCCTAGGCTAAAAGAGGACTGCGGGCGCGCCTGGAGGCGCGCGGAGCCCAGGAGGCCCCAGGGCTAGGGTTTAGGGTTTAGGGTTTAGGGTTTAGGGTTTGCGGACTCATGCGGACGAAGGCGCCGTTGCGGTGCTTGTTCGAACTCTTCTCCCTTATCACCAAACAATCCGTCACAAGTCCGAACTCCGAAAAGACCCTCCGCAGCTGTTCCTCCTGCACGGAGCGGGGCACGCGGCCCACGAAGAGCTTGACTTCCACGGGCGGGGCTTTGTGCGGCAGCACGTGCTGCTGCTGCTGCTGCTGCTGCTGCTGCTGCTGCTGCTGCTGCTGCGGCTCTTCCTGCTGCGGCGGCTCGGCGGCGGCCTGCTGCTGCTGCGGCTGCGGCGGGGCCGGCTGCTCCTGCTGCTCCTGCTGCTCCTGCTGCGGCTCGAACGGAGAGCCGTTTACGCTGCTCACTTTGCCCGGCTGCGGGTCCTCGCGCTGCTGCTGCTGCTGCTGCTGCTGCAGCGGCGGCTGCTGCTGCGGCGGCGGCGGCTGCTGCTGCTGCGGCGGCTCCTCTTCCTGCACCTGCCGCTTGAAGCTTTCCGCCTGCACGGCATGCTTCGGCTGCTGCTGCTGCTGCTGCTGCGGCTTCTGCTGCTTCTGCTGCTGCGCGTCATCGTGGTTCAGCAGCAAATGCTGTTGCTGCTGGGGCGGCGGATTGTCTGCTGCTGCAGCGGAAACAGCTCCTCCCGTTACTCGTGTACTCATACTGGCAAGCGTGACGTGCGTGCTGAAGTTGCTGCTGCTGCTGCTGCTGCTGCTGCCGCTGCTGCTGCGGCTTCTAATGCTCTTGTAGTTACTCTTGGGCAAGTGGCACTTGAACAGCTCCGGGTAGCTGCCTTCGCTGCTGCTGCCTTTGATGCTGCTACCGCTACTCCTGCTGCTGCTGCTGCTGCTGCTACTGCTGCTGCTGCTCCCTTTGCGGGACTCCCGCTGCGTCGCTGCGCTGGACTGTCGCTAGAGGCCCTCGAAGTCTTGGGTGGAGGGCGAACGCTGCTGTCGGGCAGTTGCTGCTGTTACTGGCATTGCTACTGCTGCTACTACTGCTGCTGCTGCTGCTGCTGCTGCCGTCGTCGTTCCTGTCGACCTTGCTGCTGCTGCTGCAGCTCCCACTGCGTACTGAAGTGCAAAGGGCGGCCCTGAACAACCAGCAGCAACACAACAAGACACACAGCCACAACGAGGCTTCCTGCCTGCTGCTGCAGCACGCAGCGCCCCACGCGGCGCAGCAAGTGAATATAAAGCTTCTGCAGCAGAGCAGCAGATTCCGCCTGCTGCGGAGGCGCCTGACGCAGCGGGGAGCAGCAGCAGCAGCTGCTGCTGCGGCAGCTGCAGCGGCTGCTGCTGCTGCTCAGCAGAACCCTGTGTCTGCTCCGCCCTTTGGGGCTGCGACTGCTCATCTCTAAGCAACTACGAATACTCTGTACAAACATGGCCTCAGATGCGCTATTGAGGCAGGACAACCAGCTGTTGCTGCTGCTGCTGCTGCTGCTCTTGTTGCCGGTGCTGCAGCTGCTCGCGTGACTCCCCCTGCAGCTCCCCGCCCCGCGGAAACCTGGCGTATGGCATATCCAGCTAGAAGCAACAGCAACAACAGGTACACCAGCCGCAACTGCAGCAGCAGCAGCTGCTGCTGCTGCATGTTGGCCCTATTACGAGCACGCAACACCTGAGACCTGCCTATACGCCCCAAAATCTGCTGCTGCTCACCCCGGCTCCGCTTGCTGCTAATTCCCCCCTTACTAGAGGGTCTGCATTTGGAAAATGCGCTGTGGAGTTTGAAGTTTATAACCCTGTGGCTGCTACTGCAACAGCTGCTGCTGCTGCTGCTCTGTGTTGCCGCCGCCGCCGCCGCCACAGCAGCGGCAGCAGCAGCAGCGCGGCGGTCCCCGTGCGCCCGCTGCCGCCGTGGCTGCTGCTTCTTGTGCTGCTGCTGCATCGATTCCGCTAGTAAAGCATGCATTACATTTTAAAAAAGCCATTTATTGCATTAATATGCTAGGGAAGAGCAGCAAGACTTAGAGCAGCAGCAGCAGCAACAGCAGCAGCAGCCGCAGGAGTAGTTTGCTGCGGTGCGATAATCTGCCGCAGCAAACTAAGGCCCTTTGACGTAAATAGTCCAAGGGACTCCCTTCAGCCTCTGTTTATTTCCAGGGATATTTTTGAAGAATTCGTAACGGAAAAGAAATACAAAAGAACCTTTGTGCGGCCAAGACACCGCAGAGTCGCCAGGGGCTCATTTCTGACAGCTAAGCAGGTGCTGCAGCAGCAAACGCGCGCAGCCCCTCACTCTTTGCCCACCCACTGCTTCCTACCCTTTTCTCTAGATACTCAGGGGCCCCTTCTGGCGCCAAAGGGCTCCCGGGGGGCCCCTAAATTCCAATTGGGGTACTCAGCCAGCCCGCTGCGCATGCAGCGGGAGGCCCGCAAGGGGCCCCCAGCAAGCCTGCTTCCCCAGCGCTAGCCACACTTGAAAAGAAGCCAAGAGAGGCTCATAAAGCAGCTAGCAACACAGAAAACGTACACACGGGGCCCGGGGGCTCCCAAGGGGCCCCCGGGGCTGCCTTGCAAAGCAGTCACAGAAATAAACTCTGTAGGAGTAGCAGCGCCAGAGCAGCACATGCACATTACCATAGGGGAGTGGCAGGGACAGCATCTAGTGTGGTCCACAGGTCTTGTTGCAGCGGGGGGTACAGCACGTGCTGCTGCTGCTGCTGCTGCTGCTGCTGCTGCTGGTATCGTCGCTTTTGCTGCCGCAGTCTTCTGTGGCCTCCCAAGAGAGGCGCAGCAAGGATGGTGGGCCTCGAGGTGTCTGACGTTAAAAAGTACCGGCAGGTTAATGGCAAGGTGTGCTGCTGCTGCTGCTGCTGCATCTGTTGCCCAAGGAAGGCACCTGCTGCCGCAGCAGCTTCTGTCACTACTGCTGCTGGCGCTGCTGCTGCTGCTGCAGGACTGGTGGTTTGTTAGCTACGCGGGAAACGACGAAGCCTACTCTTGGCAGCCTGGGGTAATCCGCAAACGCATGCATTTCAGCAGCAGCAGTGCAGCAGACGCTGCTGCTGTTGCTGCTGCGCTTTTAGCCCCAAAACATAGTCAGAGTCCACCTAGATGCAACTTCTGTTGTTCACGCTGCTGACAAGAAAAGACCGAACCTCGCTATTCATGCTGCTGCTGCTGCTGCTGCTGCTGCTGCTGCTGCTGCAGAGTGAAGTGCAGCGCGCCTCTGCTGATGTACGTTCCACAATGGCGGAGATGAGGACGAGGTACATAAGGACTCACAGTTTCTCCCAGGAAGGTGTCTTTGCTTCTGCTGCTGCTCCTGATGCTGCTGGTGTTGCTGCTGCTCGCGCGAAAGCCCCAGCAGCAGCACCAGCAGCAAGAGCTGCAGCAGCAACAAAGACAGGGACACAGCGCATTCCCAGGCAGCAGTAGGCTGTCCACGTAAAGGAACCGACGGGGGGAATGCAGCAGCAGCAGCAGCAGCAGCCGCATCTGTTGCAGCAGCAGAGACTCTGTGAACGGGTAGATGCACAGTGGAGCGCAGCTGCGTGGGCTGCGAGTTCTGTCACGTCTGTGCCGCACGCGTGCTGCTGCTGCTGCTGCTGCTGCTTCTGCTGCTGCTGCTGGGGGGTGTTCTGCTGCGTTCCAGGTGGCTGCTGCAGCAGTACTACAAACGGCAGTGCCTCATCGGGGGCCTCTGGCTGCTCGCGGGGGCCCTCCTGACCCTCGTGGGCTTCGGAGTCCACATGGCCTGGGATGACCTCAAGGGGGCCCCCTTGGGGTCAAAACTCTACACTTTGACTTTGCCTTGCTGCTGGTGGCTGGTGGTTTGCTGCTTCCTTTCCGTTTGCTTCGGAGTTGCTGCTGTCACTCAGTCCTTCCGCCTCCCCCGCGGCCTCCGCGGCAGACAGTCCGTCCGCTCCGGCGTTTCTTCCCGCAGTCAGTCCCAAACCCTAAACCCTAAACCCTAAACCCTAAACCCTAACCCGTAATCCCCGTAGGCGCGCAGGGAGCCCTCGGCGTTCCACATACGCGGCAGCAGAAAGCATCTAGAGCTGTTGCTGCTGCTGCTGCTGCTGCTCGCGAATAGCTGCGAGCACTCTCTTGGCCATTTGTTAGGGCCATTTCCACCAGAGCCAGCTGCAGCGGCAGCCTCAGCGGGCGCAGCACTAGGCTGGCTCAGAAATAGCTGCAGCAGTAGCAAGTGACAGCAAGTCAGTGGCTAGCTGGCACCGGCTTGGCCAGCCAGTCCGCTAGCTAGCCAGTTCGCTAGCAGCTAGCCAGACAAGGAAGGGCGTAGGATGCAGCACACGCAGTATTCATGCTGGCTAGCTAGCCTCGTAGCTCGAACGAATGTTGCACCCCTTCTGGCTAGCTAGCTAGCCAGCTAGCTAGCTAGCTAGCTGGCTAGCTAGCTAGCGGGCTAGCTAGCTGGCTAGCTAGCTGGGTGCAAGGCCGTAAGCATCGTGGCTAGCCAGCTGTTCACATTTGCTGCTGCCATGAACAGGCAGCCGTTCCCCCTCAGTCTCAAGGCGGAGAAGAGCAGCTCCTTTCGGAAGGAGAAGACGTGCTGCTTCCCCTGGGAGCGCAGCAGCAGGAGCAGCAGCAGCAGCAGCAGACGGAGACCAGCCAACTCTGGGGGAAGTGGGCATGGAGCCAACAACGGAAAGCGGAGGCGACAGCAGCGGCAGCGGAGGCGCCTTCAGCTCTGACGAGCAGCAGCAGCAGCAGCAGCAGCAAGCCTTCGGAAGCCAAGAAATAAGACCCGGACTTTCAAAAGCAATTGGAGATGGACCCCTCAACAGAAAGCTGACGCCTCGGCCCTCTGGAGAGGCTTTTGCTTCTCCGTCTCGCGCTGAGTCGGCAGCAGCAAAAGAGGGCGGCGCTGCTGCAGCTCTCAGCCGGCACAGCAGCAGCAGCAGCAAAAGACAAGGTAGCCTAGTCAAGCACAGCTCCACCCGCGGCAGCAGAAGGTAGCTACTGATAGCAGCAGGCAGCAGCTAGTTCTGCTTAATTCCCCTGCACTTGAGCAGCAACAGCGGATGGCTAGCTGCACAGCTCTTCGCCGTTGTTCTTTGCTGCTTCTCTGGCTAGCCAGACAATGTGTGGCTAGCCACAACTTTGGCTGGCAGCAAACGCATTTCCTTGAGTAGCCAGCTGCTCAGCGAAGGCTGCTAGACCCTAAAAGCGAGACTGTAACGGTCCTTTCTAGAGGCTGCAAAGTGCTGCAGCTCGTGAGTCGTTGCTGCTGTCAATGACCCCCGCTGCCAGTGTGTGGGGTGCAGCTGCTCCCTCATCTGCTGCTGCCTCTGCTGCTTAGCTGCTCCTAATGCTGCTGATGCTTCCCATAGCTGCTGCTGCTGCTGCTGCAGCTTCATCTTGTAGTAGCCGCTGCCTTGATCCTTGGGCAGATCTGCTGTCGATTGGCACCACCTCAAGCGTGGCTTCCGGCTGCTGAAGATCAACCCCTCAAAACCCACTACACATTCCGCTGGAAAAAAGACATTTCGGCAATAAGCGCAAAAGAAGCTAGCAGTAGCATCACGTTCCGGCGCAGCAGCAGCAACCGCTGCAGCAGCAACAGGGAGAGCAGCAGCAGGAGCAGTTGACTCTGGACCCCAGAGTGCCGTCTGCGTGTCTTCTCTCATGAGCCCCATTAATGCATTTGAGGCTTGTTTTGACAACTTGTAGCTGCTAAGAAACGTGCGAGCCGAATGATGCAGTGGCAGCAGCTAGAGCATTACACACCAGCAGCAGTGGCAGCAGCAGCAGCAGCCGCAGGAGCGCGGTCCCGGGACGTCTTGTGACCCCGAGAGTTGTTGACCAACTCTGGCTGTCTCCTTAGCTAAAATTTTCTTGCTGCTTTAATTTTGTATTTGCAGCATCAGAGAGTGCGTTGCTGCCGCAGCAACGGCTGTTGCTGCTGCTGCAGCGGGAGAAAAAACTGATATGCAGCTGCTGCTCCGATTTGCGTGGCAGCCTTGAAATCGGCATATTTCAAGGGTGCTGCTGCCTCTGCTGTGTGCCTCCTGAAAAAAGTAGCTGCAGCAGCAGCTGCTGCTGCGTGCTGCTGCATATTGATACTTTGTGTCTCGAGGGCCTGCAAGGCCCTCTGAGCATTTTCTTTGTCTTCCTTTATTACCCACAGTAGGCAGCCATGACTTCCTTCACGCAGATGCTGCTGGCCGCGGCAGTTTTGCTGCAGCAGCAGCAGTGGGTGCAGCACTTTTCCTGCAACGCCCTATCCTTTCACCGGGACCCGTCGGCAGCAGCAGCAACTGCTGCGGCAGCTGCTACTCTAGCTGCGACAATGCAGCTGCCTAGCATAGATCTGCTGGCAAAGCCACGGCACTGCCCTTCAGTGGGGCCGCAGCAGCAGCAGCAGCGGCTGCAGAAGCAGAGGCGCAGCTCAGCAGCATTCATAGGGCCCCACGCTGCTGCAGCTCCACTGCAGCACGCAGCTCCTTCCGCGTATTTTTCTGGTGCAGCTATTCCAGCAGCAGCAGCAGCAAATGCAAGTACAGTGAAACTGATAGGACCGACCCCAGCAGCACTAGCAGCGGCGCCTGCAGCAGCAGCAGCAGCAGCAGGAGCAGCAGCAGCTGAGTTACCTTTTAGGATAGGGCACGGCTACGACTTGCACCGACTGTCTAGTGATCCCAAGGAGATGACAGGTGAGTTGCTGCTGCACCTCTTTCAGGTGTTGCTGCTGCAACTACTACTGTTGCTGCTGCTACTGCTGCCGTTGTAGGCAAGCCAACTTTGCCTCGGTGCTGCAGCAGTTGCTGTTGGCGCTGCCGCTAGGGCTCCCGCCGCTGCTGCTGTCAATTTTTCTGTTGCTGCTGCTTAGTTTCCTGCTGCTGTTGCTGCTCAAGCCCTTGAGCGTCACTCACGTGCTGCTGCGCTGCTGTGCTGCTGTTGCAGGTCCTCTCATACTATCGGGCGTTTCCTTTGCCCCAGAAGCTCCAGCAGCAGCAGAGTCAGCAGAGGCGAAGCAGCAACAGCCGGAAGCAACTGCAGCAGCAGCAGAAGGCGCTGCTGGGGAGGTTCAAAGGGGGCACCGCTTCATCTCAGTTGCTTCCTCGGGCATTAGGCGTCTGCTGCAGTACGGTGCATCCGTGGCCAGCAGCATCAGCAGCAGCAGCAGCAGCAGCCGCAGCAGCAACAGCTACTTGGGCGTCGTAGCGCACTCAGATGGGGACGTGGTGCTGCATGCGGCAGCTGACGCTGTATTTGCTGCAGCAGGTGCTGCGGACATTGGGCAGCAGTTCCCTGACACTGCAGCAGAAAACAAAGGCCGGAACTCTCGAGAGTTTGTTGCTGCAGCAGTAGCAGCTGCTGCTGCAGCAGGGTACACAGTGGCGCAGATGGACGTCACGCTAATGCTGCAGCGCCCCCGCATCAGCAGCAAGAAGCAGCAAATGATAGACACACTTGCTGCTGCTCTGGGCATCAGCAGCAGCAGAGTTTCCCTTAAAGCCAAGACGGGGGAAGGCGTGGGACCTGTTGGCCGCGGCGAGGCGGTGGAGTGCCACGCGGTGGCGCTGCTGCAGCGGCAGGTTACAGGCGCAGCCCCTGATGCAGCAGCAGCAGCAGCAGAAGCGGCTGCAGACTGATGTTACTGCGCGCTAGTGGCCGCAGCCTGCTGCTGCTACCCTTCGATCACGCTGCTGTCGCAGCCACAGCAGCCAGTGAATCTCTTGCAGCTTAGAACGATAAGGACGCGCTGCTTCAGTTGCTGCAGGTGTGCTGCAGTGTGCTGCAGCTGTGCGGCAGCTGTGCTGCAGCTGCGGCAACAGTGCTGTACCAGGGCTTGTCCCTGTTCCTGTTATGTTGCATGCTGCAGCTGCTGCCTGACTGCAGTAGGAGTGGCCCGCGACAGGATTGCCTGCAGGGACTGCAGCAGCAACAGGAGTTGCCAGCAGCAGCAGCTGTAGCAAATGACTGCAGCAACTGCAGCAAACACAAGTAGCAGATGCTACCCAATAGCACTTCTTACGAGGCCTCTAAGCAACTCACGGCTTAAGTGGAGGCTCACAGTGACACTAAAGGATAAACCCTATATTTTGTTGCTGCAATATCGCGTGCGACTGCAGCACCACTTGCTGCAGCAGCAGTACGGGGCGCGGCATGACGGCCTGCTGCAGCCGCCGCACACATTCGCCAAAGCTTACGCTCCCTCTACTCGTGCTGCTGCCGCTGCTGCAGCTGCCGCTGCTGTAGCAGGTTGACTCGTGTTCAACCACACTTGGTGTACACTGGGGAAGTACCAGATATATCACGTAATGATGCAACTTTTTATTCAAAAAGTTTTCCATATAGAGCTTGGCACCACCAAGAAGGGGGCGCCAGTAGCTCAGCTATTGTTTTTTGCTGCCTAAAACCTACAGCTGATGTGAAATCGCTGTATACTGCTGTATCCATCAAGTATATGCCCTACTGGATACACCAAATAAGCTAAAAGCAGCAGCTGCAACGACAATTGCTGCATTAACTGCAGCGGCGAATGAGGTGCCACTGTGCAGAAGGGGAACACGCAGCAAATCCACTGCCTGCAACGCTGGCTGCTGCACTGGCTGCTGCAGTGGCACGGCGTTTGTCAGTGGAAGAAGTAGGGGCTGGCTAGCACTTGTCTGATGTCCAGCTCGCCCTTGGAGGGGGGTCGAGGCAGCTCTGCTGCTTGCTTGGGAAGTCTGCTCTTGACGCTGTCATACAGAAGCTGCAGCGGGTCGTGCTGGTAGAGGTGAACGAACTGCTGTCTGAGGGCGACTGCCAGGGTGTCTATACACCCGGCGTGGGCCCAGTAGGAGTCGTGCACGGCGGCCATGTCGATCTTGTAGGTGCCTATACACTCCAACGCCGTGAGCATCATGTGGGCGGCGTCAAGGCTGTGGATGAAGTTAGGGGGAAAACCCAAACGCTGCTTGGACCTGCTGACAGGCGCGCTGTCTCCTGACACGTGCAAAGTGTGGCGCTGCAGCGGGGAGCGGATTTGCTGCTGCTGCAGCGACCGATAAGGCTGCTCACACAGCAGCCCGATCGCGGGCACCTCCCATGCCACCGGCACTCCCGCAGCTGTACATACACCCGAAACGGTGTCCAGCCACTTCTTAGTCTGCATGGCGCCCCGAAACAGTTCCCCAATTGACTGCAGCACAATGCGAGACAAGAACCCTCCTAGCTCCCGCAGCACTTCAGGCCGCAGCTGGCCCCCCAGCAGGTCCTCTAGCTGAGAAAGCACTTGGTCTCGGGCCCCAAGGGCAGTCACACCGTAGCAAACGGTCATCACTGTTTGCTTCACCACGGACCGCTTCAAAATTCCGTGCGTTTCACACAGCCGCGCCAACTCGCGGCGTCTTTCCTGCTGCTGCTGCTGCCATGGCTGCTGCTGCTTGCGTGCAGCGATGGCCTGCTTCCGCGGTTTCTTCTTGCCATTCTGCTGCTGCTGCTGCGAAGCAGCTTCCTCTGCAGCTGCTGCTTCTGCTGCTGCTGAGGAGGCCGTGGAAGAGGCCGAAATGCAATGCACATTCTGCTTCACAACCTGCAGCACGAGGGAGTAGACGTCTTGAGGCGTTTCAGCAGGCAAGAGGTTCACAGCAGCTCCTCCCCGGAGGTCTCTGCCCAAGGCAGCGTAGTGCTGCAAGCCATTGCAAGTGCCGTCGAGGTGCACTGGGAGTTTGCTGGGGAAGGTTGTGGGGTCTCCCGACTTGACTGCTGCAGCGATCTCGAGGACTGCAGCAAGGGCCTGCCAGGGCTCCTCTGCTGCTGCCCAGAAGTCCTTGTGCTGCATGGGCTGCTCCGCTGCAGCGAGGATCTGGGGCATTCGGGTGTCTGTCCAGCTGCACCTTCGCTCAAAGGGAATCTTGTTGTGTCCGAACAGATTCGCCAGGTGTATCCGCAGCCACCGCCAGCCACTGTCGCCCAGCGGCCGGCTGCGAGTAAACCGCAGCAAAGCGCGCGAAACATCATCTCCCATATGATTGAGGTGGGGGGGGAGTGGGTAGCAGCGGCCCCTGAAGTCGATGTTGTGGGGAAAGTAAAGAGCTGAGCACAAGGCGAAGTTTTGCGCTGTTTCCAGCTTCAGCAAAAACGAGGGGCGCTCGCTTTTCATCCGCGTTTCTTGCTGCAGAAGGTGCCGCAGCAGCACCGACCGGCTTTCGCTCTTGCTGCTGCTCGCGCTCCTGCTGCTGCTTCCGCTTCCCTCTTGCTGCTGCTGCTGGGCCTCGTGCTGCTCCAGTAGCTGCGAAATGGGGAGGGAGTGCCGCGCCGGCATTTTGCCTAGCCCCTCGCCTGAGGCCCAGGCCTGCTGCAGCACCTGCAGCACTTGCGTGTTGATCTGCCACGGGACAGACCCTAAAAGAGAGACTGCAGAGCGAACTGTAGATGTGTTATACACTCGAAAGTCTTGACACGCTTTTGCTCGCGGGCCCCACCCCAAGTAAATCTCGGAGCCCTTCTTGCTGCGGCTGCCGTTCTTACGGCTGCTGCCCCTGCTGCTGCTGCTGCTGCTGCTGCTGCTGCCTGCTGCAGCGCTCACAGACGAGGTGGCGGCGTCCGAATCGGCAGCGAGGTGCTCAGAGTCCTCTGCTGCCTCCCCGTCAGCTGCGTCGCTGCTGCTGCTCTCTCTGAGGCTGCTGCTGTGGCCAGCGCCGCTTCCCGGGTCTGTGTCAGACACGCTTCGCACAAAAGCTGTGCGCAGCATCAAGTAGCCGCCGCTGCCGTAGGCAGTCCAGGGCGCTGGAGGCAGCAGCATAGGGACGTGCTTCAGCATGAGCCAGAAGGGAGAAGACAAGCGATCTGCAGCTGTACGTACAGTGGCAGCAGCAGCTGCCGCTGCAGCTGCTGCTGCTTCTGCACCTCCGCCCTCCCGCAGCGGCAGAGACCCTTGCTGAGAATCGTCTTTAGCGTTAGCTGGTGGCTCGGCAGCCGTTGGTAGCGGTGCTGCTGCGAGGGAAAGCCCTGCTGCCGTGTCTGCAGCAGCAGCAGCTGCTGCTGCTGCCGCTGCTGCTGCTGCGGCTTCCTCAGGACTGCTGCCCAACGCGGTCAAGCGATCAAAGCAGAGGCGCCGCATTTCAATAACTCCGAATTTCTTTCGCCGCTTCGCGCAGTAAAGAACTCGGTGGCGAAATGCGGGCACCTCCACCTGCACGCACAAACCGCAGCTAAAGCAAGCAGCCCCTAATGTTCAGCCACAGCCGCTGCTGCAGCAAACAGCAACTTGAACTGCGTGATCCGGTGCCCCAGCTGCTGAGTGCTCAGCCCTGCGCAGCCCCATGCAACAGCTTGGGGCCCCCGTGGGGTCCCCGCGGGCCCCCTGCGGGGACCCCGCGGGGTCCCCTACCAGGTTCTGCAGCAAAGAGCCACCCCTAGAAGGGGGCCCCTGCACCTGCCTGTGCAGCAGCTGACCTTGTCGTGGCCGTGCCGCGACTTGTAGGCCACGAGGTGCTGCAGCTCCTCAGCAGCTCGGCCTCCCAGAGGCACGTACACCCCTGAATCTGCTGCTGCATCTGCCAGTATCTCCTCTGCAGCCTCTGCTTCTTCTGCAGAAGCAGCAGCGGCTGCTGCTGCTGCTGCTTCTTTCGAGGCAACAATTTGCTCGGCCGTCTCAGGGGCCGCTGCAGGTGCTGCTCGAGCCTGTCCTGCACCCGACTGCTCTAGCAGCCGCTGCTGCTGCTCCTGCCTGCGGGACCTGCTAAGAAGTATACGCTGCTTCTCGGCCCTCAATTGCTGCAGCTCTGTGGCTAGCTCCTCTTTTGCTGCTGCATATGGAGCCTCAATCATCGCATGCTTCACAAGCAACTGCAGCAGCAACCCCCCAACCGCAAGACGCTTTCGCGAAGACCACCGAGGCAGCAACACGGGTGATGCTGCCAGTGAAGCAGCAGCTTGTGCTGTTTGTGCTGCAGTTCCGCCACTGTAGCGGTGCTGCCGCTTTTGCTGCTGCTTGCGCAGCGGCAGGTAGCACTGTCCCAGCTGCTGCTGCTGCTGCTGCTGCTGCCTCTCGAGGAACGCAGCCGCAACTTCTGCGTGCACTGCATCTCCAATACTCATTGCAACCTGTGTCACTAGCGCTTGCCGCTGCTGCAGCTCTGGCCCTCCAGCAGACAAAGCAGCTGCTGCAGCAGCAGCAGCTGCCGCTGCTGTAGAGCAAGATGAAGCAGCAGTCAAGCCTTCCCGCCCTTTGCTTGTAGGACCTGTGGGAGCTGTGGCTTTAGGCAGCAACAGCTGCTGCAGAACTGTGCGAGCAGTAATGACAGCCAGCAAAACAGGTTCCAGCTGCTGCGGCAGGCAGCCATCGTTGCCGTCGAAGTCTGCAGCAGCAGCTGCTGCTGCTGCTGCAGCATCCACGTCGTCAGACTCAGCAGCAGCAGCTGTTGCTGCTGGAGCAACGCGCCGCTGCCGCCGTTGCAGCGCTGCTATAGGCTTGGCCATATCTTTAACCCAAGGGACCCACAGCCGCTTGGCGGGTCCTGAGTCACCTCCTTTACCTGTTGCTGCTAGCTGCTGCAGCTGCTGCTGCACTTCTGCTGTTAGCCGCTTCCAGATGCAGCCTTCCACTATTACTTGTCTTCGCCGCAGCACGCTCATCACCTCCTCTGCAGAAGAACGAGATGGGGCCAACTCCTGCGACTGCTGCAGCTGCAGCTGCTGCTGCTGCTGCTGCTGCTGCTGCTGCAAGTCAGAGGGCAGGTCTTGCTGAGTCCAGCGGAGCGGGATCGGGTAGGGGTTTACGCCGTAGGCTGCTTCCTTCTGCTGCTGCAGCCAATCCGGATTGAGCAGCAAAGGCTGCTGCCGCCGCTGCTGCTGCTCCCCAGGCAGCACAGCTGTCTTCAAGTGTCTGAACAGCTCCTCTCTTGGCACATCTGCCAGCAGCAAGCCTTGCTGCATGGCCTCCAGCTCGAGAGCATGAAGGCACAGCAGCACGCTGGCCGACAGCCCAGAAGAAGCAGCAGCAGCTGCTGCTGCTGCTGCGCCTGTTGCTGCTGCTGCGGGGCAGGTGGCTGCAGCAGCACCCTCCTCCGCCTTGCCAAGCAGCCTAGCGTACACGCGCTGCTGCTGCATCTCCCCCATCCGCCGCAGCTCCTTGAGGCCCTCAATTGCTGAAGGAGCATCTGCTGCAGCTGCTGGCGCTGCTGCTGCTGCTGCTGCTGCTGCTGCTGGACCTCCTATGCCCGCTTGGGAGGAGCTGCTCTTGCACAGCGCAGCGCCCGCGTGAGCAGCTTGCTGCTGCGGCTGCTGCAGCAGCTGCTGCTGAGGCCGCTCTTCCATTTGCTGCTGATGCTGCTGCGGCTGCTGGAAAACGTGATGCGGCGGCTGAGGGAGCTCTAGCAGGAATTGCTCAAGAGATGAGTCCTCTTGCCACGCCCAAGGATGCTGCTGCTGCTGCTGCTGCTGCTGCAGCACTTCAGCAGCTTCCACACTTACTCCTTGCCATTCTTCATCGCTGTGCTGCAGCGCCTGCTGCCAAACGTATGTTCCGGGAGGCCGCAGCTGCTCTGGCTGCGGTGCGTGCTGCAGCTGCTGTAGCTCCTGGCTCTCCTGAAGCGGCTGCGGTTGCTGCTGCTGCTGCTGCCACTGCGGCTGCTGCTGCCATTGCGGCTGCGGCTGCCATTGCAGCTGCTGCTGCCATTGCGGCTGCTGCTGCTGCTGCGGTAGATTCTGCCATGCCGGCAGCTCGACGTGAGGCTGCTGCGCCCAACAGGAAGCATGAGCAGCAAAAGGAAAGTTGTCCTCCTCAGTGAGTTGCTGCTGATGCTGCTGCTGTTGCTGCGGCCACTGGTGCATGTGATAACGCTGTTGCGCGCTCTGGTGCTGCACAGCAGCAGCTGCTGCAACCGAGCTTGCTGCTCTTAAACAAGCTACTTGCTGCCGCTTCTGGCAGTGGAAGCAGCCTCTCGGCTGCTGCCACTCCTGCTGCAGCAGCATTTGCTGCCGTTGGCGCTCTAAGCTCAACAGCAGCGGATGCTGCCTTCTGCAGCGGGAAGGCCGGCCATTAGCAGACGCAGCAGCAGCAGCAACTGCTGCGGCAGTCGCGACAGGTGTAGCGGCTGCAGCAACTGCTGCTGCAGCTGCTACATCTGCTCTCGTGCGCGGGGTGATCTGCCGCAACAGAGACATGGCAAGCAACCTGATTCAACAGCACGAGTAGCGGGAGTAGCAGCAACTGCTGCTGCTGCCACGGCCGCTGGCACCGTAGGCAGACGAAGCCATGCAGCAGCTGTTACACCGCACTGTTCCTCAATAACCATACGAGAAAAGCTTGGAGAGCCTCGCAGCAGCATCAGACCTCAGCAGCAGAGGAGCTGTCAATGCAGTAGATCTTCTGCTCTGGCGCTGTTGCTGCCGGGACTGCTGCGTTTTTATTGCTGTTGCAGTCGAAGAACTGTTGGATGTGAATTAGATGAAATAGATCTCGACAAAAGCAAAAAACTAAAAATTTCTAGAAGCCGCGTTGAAGGTACTGTGGCTCCTGCTGCTGCTGCTGTCGTCGCGGGCCTGCAACCACACGGGGGGCCCCCTGGAGGCCCCTTGAGGCTCCACAAGAGAAGTCAATATGCCTCTATCCTTCCGCTATTCCAACAAATTCATAATCCCTAATACATTGATTCCAAATTGTCAATTCAACTTTAGCCGTGTTTCTGGGGTCGCTGCTCCTGCGGCTGTGTTTGACTTCTGCTGTGGTGCCGTGGGGCCCCAGGGCCCATGGAGGCCTTCTTTGCTCTCTTTGCCTACACACGCAGAAAGGCTAGTCAGACGAAGAATGGTTGAACTTCAGGCTTTCCTTTTGCTGCGGGGAACAGCAAAGAGTGAGACCTGCAGCAGGAGAGCATCAGTTCGACGAACAGCAGCAAGTCGAGCACCTGCAGCAGCTGCAGTACCGAAGCTGCAGCGGCAGCAAGAGCAGCCACAGCTGCAGCAGTTGCATTAACTGCGGCCGTCACAGTGGCAGCAGTGGCAGAAAAAGCAGCCTCAATGCCTGCTGAGGCTGCAGCGACAGCAGCCGCTGCAGCAGCAACAGCAGCAACAGCAGAAAGCAAGAAATAACGGAGAATCCGCCCTCTAAACAGCCAGAAGGAGCAGCAAAAGTTGGGGCAAAGACTTCTACTGCGATTCTGGTGCTGCTACGTTGATGACAACAATGGCTTCCTCGTTATTAGCGGCAACAGCCCCCTCTGCTGCTGTTGCGCCAGCCGCTGCGTACAGAAGGCCAGCAGCAGCCAGCGCTGCAGCAGCTTCGTTGGCTCTGGCTAGATTGGCTCGCAGAAGCCTAAATGTGAACTCCAGCTCGCCGCATGCATTCTATACAGCAGCAGCAGAACATATGCCAGCCACCCGCAACAAGGCAATCGTAAACAGCTGCAGCTGCGCAGCAGATGAGCTGCAGAAGCAGCAGCAGCAGCTGCGAGGGCAGCAGCAACAGAGGCGGTTCGCCAAGATACTGCGGTGGCACCCAGACACTCCACTGGCACATGGACTCGAGACTTTTACAGATGCGGAGGACTTCCTCAAGGCCTGCCAACAAAATAAGGGTACGCAGCTGCTTGTGCTGTTGCAACTGCTGCTGCTGTTGCTGCAGCAGCCGCTGCAGCAGCCGCTGCAGTAGCCGCTGCTGCAGCTGCTGCACACAATGCTCAAACTGCTCCTACTGCTCCTGTTGCTGCCAAGGCTGCTGCTGCTGGCTTCGACATCAGTGTTCCTTCACTTGTTACTGCAGCGGCAGCAGATGCTGCTGCCGCCACTACTGCTGCTGTCTTTTTGCTTGTTTGCAATAATTTAAACAGATTTTGAGGCTGTCACGAGCAGTATGTTTCCTCCCGGTGTTGAGGAGCTCAAATTGGTAGCTCTGTTGTGTTGCTGTTGCTGCTGCTGCTGCTGCTGCTGCCTAAGGCAACATGACACGCCGAGACTGGCTTGCTGCTCTATCTTTACTATCTACGCGACGCCGCCTCGACCTGCGCAGCAGCTCTTTTAGGGCCTTTCTTGGTGCTGCACTGCAGCAGCAAGAGCTTCTGCAGCCTGCCCACATACATCTTACAATTCATCGGTGAGCTGCTGCAGGAGCTGAGGCGCGTGAAAATCAGCAACAGCAGCAAAAACATCAAATGCAACCGCAGCAGCACATCCAGTTTGCAAAGTTGCAGCAGCAAGTAGTGCGGGTGTGTCCTCAGACTGGCAGTCATTGGCTACAGCCCAGCTCTCTGGCAGCTGGCGCTGCGGCTGCAGCCATTTTTGCAGCAGCAGCAGCTCAGCAGCAAGCAGCTGGTTGTGTCAGCGTGGGGTCTTGCAAAGAACGGAGTGACGCATCCCCCAGTTTGGGACCTCATAGGTAGGCAAAGCCCACGCCGGAACCCCCAGCAGCAGACAGAAACTCTAAAACTAAGGATGGTGCCGCTGTTTGCTTTCACAAGCAGTCTGTGTTTCGCGGGTTTAGATCTAAGGTATAGAGTTTAGAAGTGATATTTCAAAATTTTGAAATATGGCGGCAGGGGCTGAGGCTTTGCGACTGGCGAAGGACTTCAGCCTTGCAGACCTCTCGATGTGCCTTTGGGCTTTCGCCCGCACAGAGGTGGGTTGCACCGAAATCCCCAAAAGTGTTTCTGTAACTAAAGGCCTGTCCAGCAAACTGTGGGTTTGTTTTTCTTGCATAAATTCCTGAATTAACGGCCTCATCAGACAGAGGGTTAGGGGTTGGGCTTCAGGGTTGTCTGCAGCGCCACAGCGTAGTAGGGATGTACAACAGCAGCATAGGTGGACTGAGTTTCTGCAGCTCTGGGGTCCATGCAGGCTGCTCCTGCTGCAGCCGCTGCCTCCTCACCTCTTTTTTGCAGCAGCACTGAGGGAAGACACAACGCTTGATACACTTCCTGCAGCAGAAAAAGGCTCAGCTACTGTTGCTGCTTCGTGTGCTTGCGCAGCGCTTGAAGCCTGTTGAAATCTTGGCCCTCAAAGAAGAAGTTCTCAGCCGCCTCGACAGCTTCGTCCGACGGACACTCGCTGCGGCGGGGAAGCCGTCTCAAGCAAAACTTGCACAATCAACAGCAGCAGCAGCAGCATCAACAGAAGCTGCAAAGGCGACACCTTTAAGTGAGCCTTAGCTAATGACATGATGGCATGATCCACCCGCGAATCTTTCAGCAGCAGCGCATACATCACTAACAATGCTGCAAGTTCTGTTGCTACTTCCACTGCTGATGCAGGTTCATGCACAGTGACGCCACATGACCTGTGCATGCTGATAAGGTCCTTTGCAGACCTCACCCCACGCGACTCGCCACTTATCATTCGCCTGCTGTATACGCTTCTTCTCGCTTGCCGGGTGCAGCCACCAACTCCCCTGGCAGCAGAAGCAGCAGTAGCAGGGGGAGCTGCAGCAACAGTAGCAGAGGTAGAAGCAGACGGGGAAGACGCCAACCTGGGATCTCCTTTTGCTGCTGGCGGTTTGGGTCCGCTGACTGCACAGGTAATTCAATGACGATTTCTGCCCAGCGCCATGATATTCAAGCCCATTGCTTCGCCGATTAAGAGTTAGGAAGGATGCTGTTGCTGTTGTCCCAGGGACTCACTGCTGTCTGGACTGCTCTGAAGGACACAAAAATCGTGCAGGTTTTCTCTGTCCCACAGCACAAGAGGCCCAGCAGCGGCAGCAGCAGCCCCAGGCACCATGCTTACTTGCCATTCAGAGAAACTGTACCTCTTGAGTGTCTACCATTGCTGCTACCCATCCTCAAGCCATCCAAGGTATATTCGCACGCAGCGCCAGTGGTAACTGCAGCAGTACCAGCAGGAGGAACAGCAACAGCAACGACGCAAACTGCAAACGTGGGAGGAGCTTCGGGTGCCGCAGTAGAAGAGGCAGAACAGCATGCTATTGCAGCGGCGCCAATTCCCTTGCCGACGGAGGTGACTGCTTGCTCTACGCCACTTCCAGATGCTGCGGCAGCCGTTGCTGCTGCTGCAGACATGGGACTTAGGAACAGCGCGCTGCTGCACAATGCTTGCACTGACGTCCTTCTGGAGGTTCTTTGTGAGGAAACTCGTCACTTGCGTCTTGATCACACCACCAACACCAGTATGGTAGCTGCGCTGGCTATGGCCCTCGCAGACATGCGGGTAAGCCAATACCTAGAGGCTCAATTTTTGGCGCAAGGCCTCAGAAGCTGCACAGCCGCATATGAGGACATATTTTTTGCATCTTTACGGGTTCTATTATGCGCTTTCAAGCCGCACAATAGTCTCAAAAGGCACACGGAAGACATGGGCAAAGTTTAGATTGCGTGTGGGGCCGCAGCTCGTCGATCCCCGTGTAGTATATCAGCTAGTGCTCTTTGCACAACAACGGGGGGCCGCACAGTTTCAGGGCGAGCAGCTACTAAAGGTCCTTGATGCATTTGAGGATTGTCAAATCACAGACAGCAAGGCCTGGGCCAGACTCGGTTAGCTCCCACATGTTGTGCCTGCTGCTGTCACTACGGCTGCGCTTTTACGTGCGTCTTGCTTGCCTCTACTGGCGCTACTGCTCGTGGTTGCCCTGACGCTCTTGTTCTGTTGATATTTCTGTACCAGCTTTCCTTGATCCTCTTCTTTGCCAATTCTGCTCTCATTCTCTGTCGATGCTACTGCTGTTGGCCTGCCCTCTTGATATTTCCGTTATTAATGTTTCTCTTGTCGCTGCTTTTGGTTGCATTCTGTGAAGTTCATCGAGTTCAGGACGTTGCAGCGGACTTGGACTTGAAGGGACTACAGAAATTACGACAACTGGCAAGACGTTCTGGGCACAGCAATGAAAGGCTCGAGGGAGTCATGGACCACTTTGAGGTCCTCAAGGAAGACATAAGGCGCTCTGGGCCCCTCTAGGTTGACTTGCGATACGCGTTTTAGAGCTATTGGGCAGAGGCTGTATTTCCGTTGCGGTTCCAGTCGGGGTCAGCGTCGACGCCTGTTTGATTTTTGCGCCTCTGTTCATGTACTGCTCTACAGCGCGCTGCGTTGTGGCTGGAACAGAGGTAGATGCGCTGCATGGCCCTTGTGTATGACGAATATGTGTACGGCAGGTTGTTATGTAGTATCATTTTTCCAGTGCTGAAGTACCAGGCAGGCTGTTGATCTGGAAGCCGTAGATGCGGCGCAATGTATGTTTTGGGGAGCCAAATCGGAGCATCGTGATTTGGCCTTTGAATCCTTTTAAGTAAGCTAGTGCGATTACTTCGGCAGAAGAGACGGAAGCTAGAGGCCAGCGATAGACAGTTTTGATGATGCATTCATCATAGGCTTCTTCATCTTGACGGAACTTCTTGACTTCCAGCTTCCACCGCTTCAGACCAGCAATTTTCGACATCTTTCATACGTATCAAATCATTTTGGGGAAAAATTAAACCGCTATGTACGTCAAAAGGGCACAGGCGACCAAACAGACTCACGGGGACAGTCAGCACAAAGGCGGAGGCCAGCGAGACAGGTGCCACCGCCCTGACCGCATGAAACTAAAAACATTGCACCAAATAACTTGTGCCTATAAGAAGCCGGAGTACTGAGAAGAACTGCGTAGGCGTTCGGCGTAGACTACACAGTGCGTCAGGAACTGGTGGTAGCTCTCTATTTCCGTTCTCATGCGCCTCTCATCGTACTTTTTCTTGGAAGTTATTATCAAAACGGTAGGATTTTAGCGCGCGAACAACAGAGGCAAATGCACGACGTGCAACTTAATGATATGTGCGAACGTCTTCCACGCACGTATTTCGTGGGCCAGCGTGCACAACACCGATCCGTGAGCTGCAAAGCATATCCCCAACTCCGAAAACCGAAAATAAGGCAACTCACAAAGTATATCAAAGCGTTCGTCATAGGTCATGCACCTTTTTCACTAGGCGCAGCTGTGGAAGGGGGTCATCAGGTGCTGCAGGTGGGATTGGCGGACCAGTGGCCATGCAGTCTGTGGAAGGGGAGACTGACATTCTCAGCATTGGGTGACAGCTACTATAGTTTGCTTTTATGAATACAGGCAGTAATGCGAAGATGATACACCGATGCGAGATCTTTGTTACAGTTAATGCGCCGTCGCATTGGCCGTTCGGGCCAGCAATGCCTCACAGGTGACCTCGGGAGAGGAAGCTTGACATTCCCGCTGTTGCTTGAGTCTTTACTGCAATGCAACCTCAAATTTAAAAAATAGATAAATTGGTGAAAAGCTGGTGTGCATCTTGCCTATTTTTGGTGGCCGAAAACATTCAAATCTAGATGAACTGACAGCCCTCCAGGTTTAATCAAAAGCAACCCCACTGGGCCGAAGACGGCATGCTTGCCCCATTATCTGCCTCTTATTACATTTTTAATTGTGAAATTTTATTAGTCATACTAGTTGTCCGTATCAACTGACGTGGGAACGAGTGAGCATTACTGCTCTGCAGTACGGCTCCACCTTTCCTTTCTTGCCGCAGCTTGAAATATCTTAACCCTGGAAAGAGAGCAGCAGTGGTACTATAAGCTCCGACGTTTGCAGAAGCAGGAAATCCATTGACGGGAGGCCTTAGGTTTCCCGCTCGCTCATATGTGCTCTCTGTCGTAGCAGATCCCAAACCACCCGCTCGCTCCAACTGGGCTCTGCTCTGCGCAGCTGAGCCGTAAGAAGCACCAGTCGCTTCTTATTCGTAGTATGGCAGACAAGAGCCTAGGCCTAGCCTAGCCTAGAAGGCATGAAGAGCCAACATGGTGGTCACCAACTGACAAGACACTGGTTTGTGTTTGCTTTTCCAGGCTTCTGCACTACACTTTCACACAAGCTCACGAATAGGTCCCCTGCTCGGTCTCCAGGCAGCCAAATGGAAGTAACAAGAGGCGAAAGCAATGCGCTGGTGGCTGTGGGGTCGCGACCTCATCCCAAATGTACGTTCTCCTTATCAACCGTCTAGAAAGCAATACAGCAGCTTTAGTGTTTTACCTCTCCTTTTCTAACGGGTTAACAAGTACTTTATTTCCCTCTTTTTCCGAACACAGCATTCTTTGGTCGTCTACTGGCAATAGGGGCGCTGCCGCTCTCAAAAGTAACGGAAGGCGACGCTCGAATAAGGCGAACTCACACGAGCGTGTCCAAGGTGATCCGAACCCTCTGCAGTTTAAAAGCTAATTCGCCCTTCCTAGCTTTCCGCACAGAATGCCCCTGTAAAATACGGGGACATATGCCGTGTGCGCTTGCTGCAGTATATAAGCGACAGAGAGCTCAGGAGGCTTCAGTTGCCTAGCCTGCTGGCAGCTCTGCTGCCCCCAGCTGCCTCGCTTGAAGACCAAGGAGGCAGTGGCAGCAGCACTGCAAACTCATTGCCAGTGCAGCAGCAAGCTCTTGTAATAAGGGGTGCAGCTTCCCTGGTGCTGCAACAATGGTTACTCCTAGCTACCGAAGCAGCGTTGCTGTTGAGGCGCCTTTTACAGCCAGAGAAGCAGCATCGGCGCAGCAGCAACCACCCAGACCATGAGCAGCTACTCGGGAGAGAGCAGCAGCGCGACGCAAGAAGGAAGAGGGTGCGGACTGCTGAGGTAGACAAGGGAGAAGGTGAAGAGGTGCAAGTGGACATGGAGGATGCAGCAGAGGCCATGTGGGAGAAAGCAGCGGTAACCTTAACATCATTTTATTTCGTCCCAGCCAAATATAAATTGTTCTTTCCATAGGTTAATAACATCGTGGCCTTTTGTACCGGTGTGCTCCTGTCATAGTAATATTTAACTTTACAAACAAATGCCGGTGGAATACCGACACACTAGTAGCAGGAGAGATGGCTTTGCTATCATCTGTTGCCGGGAAGCCATCCTTCAAAGACAGCTACGCTGGCAACGTGTCTCCCTATAATACAATGCCCGTCGATACAACAGGCCCTCTCCGTAGACTCCGTACACACTGCTATTTGTTAAAGGCCTCCAGTAAAATGCATCCCCTTTGGTGAAAAATCTCCTTTAATTTCATATGCAGGGGATAGCGATGTAGAAGGTTCACCGGGGTATGAGCTCCATTTGTTTCGCTGCTTTTGCAGCTGCAGCTGCAACAGCAGCAACCACACGGCGAAGAAGAGTCGCAGCAAAGGCTGAAAAGACTCGGCAGCGTCTTTGCGAGCCACCTTCAAGAAGCTGAGTCCAGTGTTAGAGCCAATCGAGAGAGCGCTGGTCTGCTGCTGCAGCGGGGTGCCCCTGACCTCTTTAGCGCCTGCTGGGCGGCTGTGGCTACACCGCTGCGTTCTGGAAGTACGCGCCCTGGGGAAAGGCAGCATCAAGTAGGCTCGCACGAAAGGGCTCTAGCCGCAGCAGGAGATGCAAACGCTCCGGGCATGTCGTGGAGGCGCTGGGCGTTCGGAGAGTCCGGCTCTAATCTCCCTCTCCACTCTGCAGCAGTAGCTTCGAGTGCCGCAGCAGCCGCAGGGACCAACAGTGCTGCTGTAGCTGCAGGGGACCTTGCCGGTGATGCCGATATTGAGTCCGCGGACTTTGGAGACATGTGGGGCCCCCTTCCAGAGGAAGTGAGCGAAGAGCAACAGGACTACGAGGGACTACAGCAGAACCAGCAGAAAGGACAACTTGAGGACGCGACCGAAGGCATCTGGACCTCCCCAAAAGCCCCTCGTAGAAAGGGAGTACGCCAAAACTCTTATTCGCACGAGCCAGAAGCTAGAGACAAAGGTCATCGTTTTCTGAACCTGTTCGTCATGTGCTGTTATCTTTTGACTTTGCCTGCTGCTGTACCAGGGCCACGGAGTGCAGATGGACTCTAGCATATCTCGAGCAACAGCGAAAGGTCGCAGTGAAGGCGAGAAGGCGTTTCCTTATCTACTGAGAAACAATTCGACGACTTTGGATGCACCAAAGCTCTGCCATGCTGCAACTTACTTGGTAGCAGCGACCGCGGACGTTCATGAGGTGTGCTGTTGTTGCACCTGTTATTGTTGCTGCTGCTACTCGTGGCAGAACTGCTGCCTTTGCTGCTGCCGATGCCGGAAATTAGGTCTGAATATTGGCATGCCTGCTTCTGCCTTCGTCTGGCGCAGCTATACGCGCTCCATCCCGTTTCGTGCCTCTACCGAGGGCTACAACAGCAACTGCTTCTATGGAAACGCAAATCAGCATGGGGCTTTCAAAACCCAGCAGCAGCAGCGGTGGCAGCACATAGCCGTGGCCCCGCTGCAAATAGGCATTCGAAAAAAGTGTCTTCTGAGCCCTTATATGGTGTTTCAGCTGTAGTTTCAAAAGCTGATGGCGACAAGCAAACCGGCCAAAGCACTGAGGGCTTGGCCCCATGGCAGCGAGGAGGCTTGGAGGGCGACTTTACACTATACACAGACGCCGAGCTACAGCAGCAGCAGCAGCAGCAGCAGGACGGCAGCAAAGACATACGCCGAAGCGGTGATCTCCTAGGCAGCGGTGAGTACGTGGAAGTGCTACGAGGCATCTTTGACAGCAGCAGCATGCAGCAAAGGGCCACACAAACTCGGCTGACCCAACTTCCAAGAGAATCCGTAAGGGGCTGTGGCGCTGCTACTGCTATCGCCGTTGCTGTTGTTGCTGCTAATGTTGCTCCTTTCAATTGCAGCACCAGCTCGGTGGTTGTCTTCACTTTAGATGGCGTACATGCAACCATGAGCTGCAATATCTGAATTGATTAGTGGCTGCTTTGTTTGCTTGCTTGCTGCATGCTGCTGATGCATGTTGCTGCTGCATGTTGCTGCTATCTTCTCCGGTTTCTTGATGCTCTGCTGATTGAGGTGCTTCCATCTACTGCCTTTGTTTATAGTGCCTGAATTATATTGCTACGCTTCCTTGCTGATGTCTGAATTCGTTAGGAGGCATCAAGCACTTCGCGGCTGGGAAGCAGCAGGAGGGCAAGTGGGCTAAGTGTGCCTTCCTCTGAGGCGTCTCTGGAAGCCTTAGCGTTTGGGGAGTTTCCCGAGTTCGACGGTTGTGGCACTGAATTTAGTAACGATGAACAGCAGCAGCAGCAACATCAGAGAGACCTTAATGAAGCCCACAGCACAGCGATTGCTTCCCTCAGGCTTAGAGAGCTGTTGCAGCAATTCGCTCTTACACATCCTAACGTCTCAGAGAATCTGCTTGCCGACGGGGTGTCCCAGCAGCCGCAGCAGCATCCACGACAGCGGCAACAGGAGTCTACGATTCCCTTAAGCAGGCTTCTTCCCAGAGGCCGCGTTGATCCCCGCACTGCCTGTTGCACGTTTTCGCACTTGCTGCTGCTACACACGCATGGCTCTATAAAGCTGGAGCAGCAGCCTCAGGTTCTCTCCATGCCGTCCAATAAGCCCTACGCTGACCTGTACGTGCATATAACATGCCAGTGGGATCGAACAAGTGCGACAGGGGAGGCACAACAACCCTGCGAAGAGCAACAGAGCAAGCAGCAGAACCAGCAGCGGCAAGAGGCGCCTGATTACCTCGGTAATGACGAGGAGGAGCAGCCGGGGCAAAAGCAGCACGATGAACACACAACACGACAGGAAACACTCAATGGCATGCCATCTAACTCAGAAGAGGTGTCCAATGCGCATGAGAGCAGCAACACTTCCTCTTCTGGTCAGCAACATGAGGACAAACAACAGCCACAACAGCAGCACCAAAAGCGGATTGCTTCAAAACCCACAAATACGGGCGTCAGGACCGAAAAAGGTCGTGCGGTTCTTAGGACTGCCTAGGATGGCTGCAACGGTGTTGATCTAGCTTCGTTGTAGCAGTTCCCGTGTTGAACGCTGTGAAACAGTTGCAGTTGGCGTTTGAAATTTGAATCTTCCTAGGTTCGCTTTTTGAAGCCACAGGCGGTTCTTTTTGTGGCTCAGCAGTCAACGGGTTAGCCTAACGATGAATTGGCTGTGCCTTCATTCTGTGAAAGCTGGCGTGTGCTTGTTGCGAATAGCTCTTTCATGAGTTTCTTCGTGTTTATGTGCAACCACCGGCGCACATTTCTGCAGATGAATGCTGCCACAAATTACGCTCTTTCTCATTGGCGCGTGGGCATGAGTGCACGTACATGTCCATTTTTACATGGCCAAAACGTACTGAGCTGCGTAGGCACCAGTGTTGAATTGTGGTGGGGGCACGTAGGTAACGGCACAGTCATGCGTGCTCCGGGGTGCCAGATTCTAGCTCCGCTTCTTCATTCAGAGTGGTTAAGCAGCGTAACACAGATAGTTAGTAATATGCTTGAAATAATTCCTTAGAAGGCTCACAAAAATCAAACGATTCAGTGCCGGTGCGCTCCTATAGTCTTGCTGCGAGCCACACTGCTGAATAGTTGCATCCTGCAGACTAATAAGTAGCTTGAAATTACTCTCCCGTTGCTACGCTGCAAGCAGCATCCAGCTGAAACCTAATCAAAAGGCTCCACATCACTAGAAGCTGGTGAGGTTTCGGATATTGGATTGCATGCACCTTTGCACTTTCGAGGTGTACTTTATCCTACAAAAGGAGATCAAAGGACACGTTTGCTGAGGAGCGCCTATTAAGTATCTTACAACTTAGCGAGCACCGGGATTGTCGCCTGCTGCCCAAGATTTTGTGCAGCTAGCTCTGAAGCGCCAACACACAGAAACTGTGCCTGCCAGCTGCAAGCAATGTGCCCCGAAAATCCTTCCAAGCATAGGTCAAATCCCTCCAGACTGCTGTCATGTTCGCTTACATGTGGTGTTCCGATATAGCCTCAGCAGGCGTTTTTCTCTGGGCTAAGATGGAGAGCAGTTGAAGGGCGGCAGATAACTGCTGCTGCAGGCTCAGCTCTGAGAAAGGGGGGACCTGAAAATAAAAAGCAGCTCGGAAAGAGAGACTACCACTGCAAATAGAGAAACACGCGAATGGGTTAGCATACACAAGCTTTATGGGGAGAGGTTTGTAACTGAAAAGTCAAAGTAATCAGCTGCAAGTAACTGCCATGCCTATCTCGGTACTAGGGGAACCCTAGCCTCTCTACACATACATGCACAAATAGAGCATTAACGCCGCTCATTTGACTCTCCTGCAGGCTCTTGAAGCTGCAGTTGAACAAAACAGCAGGATTACGTCGCAGTGGGAACCGTAGAAGCAGCTGAAAGAAATACGTGAACATGAAAAATTGTGGCACAGTTCTTACTAGAGAAAGTTGCAAACGAAGCAGCCAGCATCGTCTGAGACGCCGCAAGGGAAACCTCGCTCTCTTAGATTTGCAGCAATAGGCTAAACAACAGCAAAACGCAGCGAACACCAGCACATAGCAGCAAACGAAAAAGAGTTTAGAATGAGTGGAAGTCACATTGAAAAATCAACATAGCAATTCGACATGAAAAAATAAATAGAGAGTCTCAACATTCCGTCCGGCATGAGATAGTCCCACGAAATCTGAATCCGGCCGAAAGGCTTCGATAGAAAGTTCTTTATATAACTTACTTCCAGACAAAAAGAAGAACGTAAACGATACTCCAATGGCATGCAACATGATATTCGCTCTGTCTGGGGCCGGCAACCCTTGGCATCCACACAGGTAAATCGGGCATCTGTACGAAGCAGCATTAAGAGAAACGGGCAATTACATACCATTTTGCAGCGAGAGGAGCTGCAGCAAAGCAGAGCCTCACCAGACTGCTGGCGGGTGCAAAATTCCCACTGGCAGTGCATGTATCTGCCAAAGTGGTAAGTTGGAATTCCTTCGTACCATTCTTCGCATTTGTCTCAAGCATCCAACGGTTACTTCTCATGTTGACACCGAAATGCAAGGCCAAGGCCACAGGTTCCTCCGTCCAGCCTCCGTCAGGAACTGAGGGATTTGCTTCATGGCTTCTTTGTCTCTCTCCAACGCCTGAAGTGTTGTCATTAGTGCTTAGCAGCTTCAAATGCTGCTTCTGTTTTCTTGTGTTGTTGAGGGCAGAGTGTATGCGGTACGCGGCCTCTGTGGCTGCATCTGCCGAAACCTCCAAAACTTCCCATCCACACAATTCAATTCTTGTTTTCCCCAAATACGCCTCCGTTGGAGGACTGTTGCACTCTGCTGGCTTCACAGTGACTCCGGGGCTTCCAAGCGTGCCAGGAGTGCTCGAGGGAGAAAAAATTGAAGGGATGCTCTTCTTCTGATGGGACAAAGGGTCTGTAGCGGCATTGGTGTCTCCAAGAGCTGCAGCCAATTCCTTGACAAGAGTTGCAGAAGGATTTTCAGATACTTCTCCGAAGGGTCCAAAGCCCGTCAAATAGACGCAAAGAGCTCCGCGCCCAGCGAAGCCCTCGCCTGTAGGTTGTCCCATAACGACAGAAGCCCATGCAAAGACCTTGCTGCATCACCTAAGGGCATCTACCCTGCATAAGCCTATTATGCAAATGAGACGGCATCGGTATCGGATCGTTTTTAACCTTAAGCAGTTTTGAGGCGAAAAAGTAAGGGACGTCGAGAAATCAAGCATAGAGTACACTCAGGCAGGCTGAAGAGAAGCGGCTGGCAAAAATGAAAAAAAGCTAATATTGTCAGCATGGAGAAATGAACGAATGAACACACAGTGGCAGCGAGTTCCTTCGCGGTTACGCGTTCGGGGCTCAGGGTCACCCTTCCCAGCCGCTCCCATTCATGTGAAGATGCTGATCAACAACATTTAAAAATGTTAATTACTGCTTAGTCATCAATTCAACAGAATTTCAAACAGGTGTTTTGCTTCTTGATTACTTTGATATTTGAATTGGGTTGGCGTCTCTCCACGTGTCCCCTGCTCTCGGTCCGAATCGTCTAGAGGTTAGGACAACACGTTGTGGCCGTGTAAACCCAGGTTCGATTCCTGGTTCGGACAGCGAAATTCAGTCCTCTTTTTACATTTCTCAAGGGAGCTGGCCGGAAGACGCGTCAAATTGTGTTTGATCCACTATTAGATTTCACAAAGTTCATTTCGCCGATGGTCGCTGAACCTAGGAATGCCGGAATTCCGGTGCGGCAACAGTTTCCCTGTATGCTTGAATCGGCAAGGTGCTGAAGGACAGAGGAGTGCATTTGATGCTTTAGAAGCTCAATGACCGCTGCGTCAGCGGTGGACCTCCGGCGGCTTGTGGCCTGCATGTGGAGCCTCGGGCAGGACTGCGAGTTACCCAGAGGTGATGAGAACAGTCGAAGGGACTTCATCCTGCTCACGCTATTAAAGCTTCAATATCTAATTGAGCCTCCATTATTCACGTCTGAAAACGGAGAAGACGAAGCGGTGCAACATGGTGCCTGTAATAGTGTGGCAAGTGACTCTGGTGGGAGGATGGCCGCCGCGGCGGTGCGAGAGGCTAAAAGCCCTGCCAAAAAATTGAATTTACTCCAGCAAGTGACTACGTTCATGCTGCAGAGAGTGGGGATCGCCCTAGACCTGCGCGTGCTCTTCCGTGCTGAAGCAGACGCAGTGGCTGAGTTGCTGCGGCTTGCAGAGTCGCTTGCTGCAGCAGTACAGCTGTCTCTCGATAAAAAACGAGAGACCAGTAGCCACAAAGTCAAGGAAATAATAAGCAGGTTCTCACACACGGAGACTGGACGTGAAGAAGCCACGGAACGCTCGCGGGCAAGCATCTCCAAAGATTGGTACGCACACAGTTGGTCTACAATAATGGTAGATCTATCCCGTCTCACCGAATCCCTATGGCTACGCGCTCTAGCTCACTACCCTTAGAAATCCCTTTTTAATGCCAAATCGGCAGCCCAGATAAACTGATAATATTTCCCCATCCAATGGCATTGCTGCTCAAGTGACCCTGTGGGTGTTGCGGCGCAACCTGTTGCAGCAAAGAGGCAACCCACACGGTGAAGTATGGAGTGGAAGAGGTTCTGTCTTCTATCGACCGCTTCTACGGGAAAGCACAAGCCGGAGAGAGAAAAAGGGCAGGGGAATTTCTTCAGGGCTTACTGGCCCAAAAAGATGTGTCAGGCGGTTCGCCCGCACTAAGCAGAAGGGGATTGCTGGAGGAGCAGCTGAGACGGAGTCGTAGCGCACTGGCGAATGTGGAAAAAAACAATGACACTCTGGTCAGTCAGGTGCAGGAGCTGAACGAGAGAATCCGTGGAGAGGAAAGGAATGCAGAAAGACTCAGCAAGCAGCTGCTGCTTCTGCGCCGTTCTCAAGTCTCCGGGGCTGCGTCTGAGGCGCAACAAGAGCTCGAGATGCAAGAACAGCTTCGAGAGCTGTACATACAATACGCACGCTGTTCCGCTGTGTGTGACACCCTTACGGCTTCCGTAGAAGATATAGCGAGCCGCGCAGAGGCAGCTGCGGCACAAAACAGTCGCCGCCAGCAAGAAGCAAGACAGCAGTTGCTGCTGGAGCAGGCCGCTACGATTACGGCAACTGATGCCCAATCCAACGTAAGACAGATAGACTCTGCAAGTAACGCTACCTTGTTGCTGAAGACGCTTTCTTTTGTACTGCCCCACCCCACGCTCTTCGCGTGTGATGCTCTTTCTGAGTTTGTGCAAACCGTCACTACCGTCACTGTATTCTCCATACAGCGCGTTGATCACTATGAACAGAAACAGCAGAAACAGTGCCTCCATGTGAGAATGAACTGCTACCTTGTAGTGAGTGTGGGAGACCCACAAAGCTTGCGGCAGTGCTTCCTGCCGCGTTCGCGTGCAGCCTTGTTTCTCTAGCCTGCACATTAGTCTTCTCTTTGTGTGTTTGTTTACTTTTAATGCTGTTTCTGCTTCAGTTCATCGATACTCTATGTGGCGGAATGACTGAAGACATGGGCATGACGCTTGCCACATCTGAGCAGCTATGCACAGAAGGCAGCGAACTGGACCTTGCAGCCATATAAATGACAAATCAACAATTGTAATAGAGGTTCTTTGTTTTGAGACTCCGTATGAAGTCCCGCATGATGCCCAAGCATGCCAGAAGACCTCAGTTCCTGTGCGCTGCTGCCTTCGTGGTAGGATTAAGTCGGTGGGAGCTCTTCACAGGATAGGCCCTGCGGCGAACATTGGGATGGAGGCCTGCTGATGGACCTCAGACTACGTCAAGATGCGGATATGCAAACACACGCTGAAGGTGAATGGAAGCAAAGCCCCCGCGAGGAATACGCAGTAACAGGAAGCGTACTTTCGTTTCTCATGCCTGGCTCATGTGTCACTCTTTGAAGGAATGAGCCGCTGACTCGCGCCGCCGCCGCTTGAAGCTGCTGTTCCCAGGATGCATTTGAGGATCCTGCGTGCGCTTGAACGTGCCCTTGGGGCTGTCTTTGTTCCTAGTTGCTTTTCCTTTAGTTTTCCGACCCCTTCCGCGAGTCATCAGTTCACTGGTCGCGTCACTGTTTGCAGTTGGGGCATGCGGTGTTGGCGAAACCTCATCCCCAAGTTCCTTCGCCCTCTTTTTCTTGGCCAGAGAGGCAGCTACGGCCCACGCTCGCCGTTTAGCCTTCATTACAACCGCTCTGAGAAGTTAATGCGTAAAAGTAAAAACGGAAAACACACTGCGTTACTGCGGCAGCCACAGCGTCTGGTTGCAACGATTGGATGTAGGCAAGTAGCAACGACTAGACCTGCCTTGCAACTGGCCGTATGGGCTTCCGTGAGCGGCCAGAGAGTCGATTGCTATGGGTCCAAGGGCCTCTATTTTTCTTCTGCCCCTTGACCCGCAAGTTACGGGTCAGCCTGGAGTTCAGGAATGCCGGAATTTTGCTGTTCGGGCTTTTCTGCATTATCTGCACGATGGGACGCAAACGGGGCACGTCGTCTAAAGTAAAGAATGTCAATGCCTGCGAGCGCATAGAGAGAAGAGGTCAACTCCTATATCTTCGGCAAAGAATCGCAGTGCGCTTCACGGCATCTCGCAGACGTCCTAACAATAGTCGAAAATAAGTGGGCCTAAGCTGAAGGCTTACTGCGTGACGCGGAGCTTCAGGGTCAGAGCATTGCAGTGCATTGGGTTACTGGGTGCCACAGGCGGTTTGCCTACCTTCCCTTCCTTGCCCGCTCTGCCTGTTCGGCCAATACGGTGTATATATACCGATGTTGAGATAGGAAGATCGAAGTTGATCACGAGAGCTACGCCCTTGAAGTCTATGCCACGCGCCACCAAATCTGTACAGATCAGGAACCATATCTGCGACCACACAGCAAGCACAATACATAAGCTGCGATACTTCATATACTCCTATCGATGCCTGTGTAGAGAAGCTTATGTGAATCGCCTGCCTTCCTCTGTCCACTGACTCCCTACGACAACATCTTCTCTTTGTCCAGTAGCTGCTACGCAATCATATAACTGACGGGCAGCAGTGAAGGCTGGCATGCATGTCAAATTTTGGGCCTAAAAGACCTGCCGATATGGCTCGTTGTTGGCAGAGACTAAGTCCACACCTTTCCAGTCCTGAAGGCGTCAACTGTCGCATCCCTCTGTTGCTTGCTCTTCGCGGCATGCAACAAGTCAACCGTCATCCCTTCAGTTATCATTTCCCTCAGAAGTTCACTTGCCCGTTCTTGTGTCTGTAACCCGAAAAAACACATTAAATAAAGATTCGAAACGGCAGGAAACTACACGGGAACGCGAGAAACTGTGGACCGCATGGTTCCCTGCATAGGAGCCAGTTCGGCGTAGATCTAGGTGAACGATCCTGCAGTATCTCAATTACAGGCAGTAAAAGCTCTCCAACGCTGTTATGTAAACACTGTAACTCTCTAAACGAGCCACACAGTAACTTGGGGACAAAACTTGGCAGAGACCACAAGATCTTGAATGGGCGCACGAGGCGAAATAATAGCTAAACGAAATGCCCTTTTTCCTTACCTCGACAAAAATCAGGCAGGGAGGGATGAGCTTCCTTTCAACGCGAAGGTTCTTTAGGGCCCACAGCTTGCCGGCTTCGGTTGAGCAGAAGACAAGTTCTTGTTCGATCTGCGGCGCGGCAGCGCTGGCTCGACCTGCATTCGTTACCTCACAAAGGCACCGCGTGCAAAGTGCGAGCAAGCAGCAAATAGAAATCTGCAGCGTAGGAGATTCTCAAGTGCTTAGGCGCACGACGTCATATATATTCGTTCTGTGTCCCACAGTAGACCCGAAAGCACGTCAACGCTGCCAAACTCTGCTCACCAACAGTCACGTGGACTGCACCGTAGGTTATAGACTCGGCCAGCAATACCACTGACGGCGGAAGCGTTGCGGAGAAGAGGCATATGTGGAGGCGTTTCGTAGTCACTGTTGCGCTCTTTACCTCAGAGAGGAGTGCATCGACTTGTGGCGAAAAACTGAAAGGCAGTAACGCAACAAGTATGCTGGAGGTCCGCAGTCCATGTTACATGAAAAAACAAAAATGCGCAGTCGGAACAGCCGGAAAACCTCTAGGAGTTCTTGAATCTGTTTGAAGACTCACCCTGAGTCCAGGAGCCGATCTGCTTCATCTAGAACCAGGTGCTGGCAGTCAGATAGCGACAGCTGCGCGCATAAAGCGAGCCACTATCAATCTTTCCTAGTGTGTAGCTCTCACTACAAGCCCGCCAGGCCCGATGTGCAGGTGGCTCCAAATACATGTGAACACACTTCGACAGTCTCCTGCCTTAACGCAGTCTGTTGAGTCCCTTTCACTGCCTCTCTCAAAAGGGAGGCTTTGGCACGGCAGGATCCGACGCACTCTTTTTTCCTTCAGAAGAGTTAATAGAGAGAGGGGTGTAGCAAAAACAGCATCCGCCGCGCCGTATCTACTCCCTGAATGAGACTGGGGGAACGCGGCTTTAAAGCCAGTGCCCTCTGCAGAAGCAGCACGAGGCAAGCACATACGGACTAACACGTCCAGATAGCGTGTGTGTGTTTATATAAATTAGGGCTGCAAACCATATAGCCAGCACCTCCCCTTGCACCAATGTGTTAACGTGGATGCACGTGCTTGTGAGGCATATTTCTAGAGCCGCTTCTCTCCATTTTCAACATGAAAACTCAAGGCGTGTGCGATTGCTATTGCTGCTGAAAACCGCTGACACTAATGCACTTCCAGCCCTCTACGATTAACGCGAATGGACTTTCCTGTCAGTCTCTGAAAGGTCCTGAGACTCTGTCGAGCCAGCTCTCGGGTTGGAGACAAAACAACCAAACGACCGAAGGCACTGCGAGGTGCCTGAAGGACAACGACGGGCAACGTTTACGCTGCTCCTCTCGTTTAAACTACGAATGGATTAACGATGCAAATGAATGAGTCACAAGAGCTTCGCAGTTTACCAAGCACTCAGTAGAGACACCAAGCGGAAACAGGCTAATAATCACATATGGGGGCAAGCGGCTTCGAATCGGACGAAACCAGAAAGAACAGGACAGCATTTGAGAGCGATGACTGAACGAAGAGATCTGGACGACAGCATCCAGGCACACTGCGGCACTCACCACCACTTGCACGGCGTATGCACAGAAACCAACATTAAACTCGGAAGAGACACCATACCTTGAGACAAGTTATCAGGGGAAGCAAAAATGCGAGGGTTTTGCCGCTGCCCGTTGGGGCCGACGCTAAGAGATGGCGCCCCTGTAGCAGCAGTGGCAGTGCCTGAGACGTGAACAGACACAAATGCTGGTGCGCAAGCAAATAATGCTGTGGCTGCCAAAGCCCGCTTCATCAATTGTTGATAATCTTCCACTGGCTCCTGCTGCATTAGCCTGAATCTGATGCCGTCCCCAGCAGGTACCCCAGCCGCGACACATCGCCAACTTAAGGCTTATGTAATGGGTGTTTAGCAAACTGTTATCATTCCACTCCAAGAAATTTATCTATACACAGCATGAACTCCGTTGCACTAGGATCTGCACCAGCAGGGTTCACCTGCATCTGAATAGGTGTTGGTTGCTTGTAGCCGAGCGCCTCCAGGCGTGACAGCAGCCAGGAAGGCATCTTCCTGGGCGCCTCCGAAGGCGCGTTATCGCCATCTGCAGCTACACTTTTACGGTCAGCCGCGTCTGCCTCAGGCGGTAATTCGTCATTGAAGGAGCTGAAGGGTGCCGGAACAACAATCAGACCCTTCACTGAGATGTTGTGCTTTGCTCGGAGGCTCTCTGCAGAACAAGAGTTAGCGGAGGTTTCAGGGGTTTGCATTCTTCGGTTTTCTCCACCAGTGACGTTCTGTTGATGCTGCTGCTGTTGCTGCTGTTTGTCTCCTTTTTGCAGACGTTGCAGCACGGGCGAGGCAAGAGAATCGCGGCATTTGTGCAGAGAAGCCCCTCGCGTGAGAACAGAAAAGATAGTTTCTTTCGCCATTTGTTCTTAAGAGCCCTTGGCTCCTGCGTTGGGCATAAGTTATAATGCGTGTCTGAAACACACGGAGTTATGATGAAGGCCATAGGCCTCCCTTGCCCCTTTAGCGCCACCTTCTGGGCGTTTTTTGGACAGAACGAAGTCATGTGAGAGTTCTACTAATACAAGAGTTAAAGATAAGTAGCGCTTTTTTGATATTAGCAATGGAAGGTACCGGGGCCCTCGCCCCACTTGGGGCCTTGGGGCCCTCTTTAGAGGCCCCCGAGAATCTTCAGTCGAAGTACTACTATTGCCAGTACTATGCAGATCATGACGAACATTACAAAATAGCGTAATAGTCTTTAAGTTTCAGCCTATCTCTGTGGACGCGGCCCCCCAAGGTGTTTCTGTGTTGCTGCCAGGTGGGTTGGTGGTTCTCTCGCGGTCTGCGACCGCTGGCAACGGAGACAAGGGGTTTCATGAGACATCTGAGGTTCTCCCGCTTTCAGTACACTGGCGCTAGGAATAGCAGACATCACGCGAACAGGGAAAGCTGCAGTGCGACACTGCAAGCTTGGCCGCTCTGCCTTTGGCCACAAGCAGAGCCACCATGAGCTTCGCCGGGCTTAGCGGGTTCGATGGGCAGAGTGTCCCTCCATATGGACAGGGTGCTCCTGTTCAAGGGTCGTCGGAAGGCCCAGGCGATCATGGGGCCCCTGGTGAGGTTCGCGGGGTGGCCGACTTCTTTGGAGGCGGAGCAGCCCCTGGTTTTGGAGGAGGCAAGCATCACAGACCCGACTCGTAATATGTATATGCATGAGATGATCTTCAGATGCATGCATGTGTTCTTTGTATATAAGTGATACATAGTACCTGCATTCTAAGAAAACTGCAGGAGAACCTTCATGCGCGTTTGCATGTGTGTTCTTGTAAACTGCCTCAGCATTTTTTCATGATTTGCATGCATTGCATGCAGGGATGTCGTATTCATGGCCAGATATATGGGGCTGTAAGATGCCCCCGTGATGAATTGCTTGTACGTTTTCATAGTGGCCTCACTTCCGGGTGTTGAGGTGTACACGAAGATTGCGCGCGTATTTGGCACTGCAGAGGATTATTTTGGGGGTGGAGGCTTTCTTCATACGGGAAATTTTCTTACTCAAGCGCAGCAGCCCTCAGGACCCCAGCTATCTTTGATTCCTGTAAAGATCGGTTAGCCTCTCTCCTTCTTTTTTCCTGTACTCAGCGTACCTCCGATGCTTCCAACTAGTGGTGTTTCGCCCTTATTTCATACTTCGAGAGGCCAAAACGAATGCTGTGTGGGGTACATATGCACTTAAGGTTCCTTATGCCATCTACTCACGCTTGCGCTGCAGCACATGTGTACAAGGCCTGGATGCAGGACCCTAGCTCACTGCAAGTGTCCTACTTTCCTTGTGGCCCGCTCCTGCACCTTGTGAAACTTGTGGGCGTTGTAGATGTTCCCTCAAGAGGTGAGCAAGGGACCAATGTGCGGTTGCAAAGGCTGGCGGATAAGGGGCGTTGGGGGGCAGATTCGAGCCAGAGCCATCTCAACACACTGGCTGGGGCTACAGCAGCGGCGGGCCAGTCACTTCAGGCCTTCGTGTAAGGCGTCGGACGCAGCAATGGCTTGCCACTTCTCCTACGCTTGCTTTCCGTATTTGCAGAATCACTGGAGACGGCTTTGCAGAGTGCCCGGGTTCAGTTCAGCCTGGATGACTTCACTGGAAGAATTGAATGCGAATACACAGTTGGAGACGAGCTCACAGAGTTCCGTCAGAATCAAATCCTTGTATGTTTGCAAGCTCCTCCGCTTACCGTAAATTTTCATCTTGTCCTTCAGCCCCGTTTGCATCCCGCTTTTCCTCAGCCGTGTGACAAATCGTCTGAGCACTCATGGTGCGGTCCTCTTTGCATTTTTCATGTTACTTGCAGTCCAAGTTCAGGCCTCTGCTTGTGCGTTTTTTCTACTGCTTCGAACACTTTTGTGCTCTTTTTTGGTGTTGTCGCGGTGGGAATCTTTGGACATCTCTATGGGACTTTCTAGCCACACAATGGCGACGGTTTTGGGTTGTTCAGCATATGGAATAATGCAGGCTGAGAGCGTCTTGGGCTTCTTTGCAGGATGCCCTATGTTGCGGGGGCCTGGTGACCATCTTTGGCTCCATCAACTTGCTGGGAAAAAGCGAACCGTCCCTGAGAGTGCATGCAATTAGACAAACGCAGTCTGCAGGTGCGTGCATACATTCATGGGCCCAAAGCTTGCCTTCCCCGCGCATGGGAGTGTGGCCAAGTTGTTACGTCTGCATTGATGCTTGGTCTGTTGCAGCGGATCTCATTTACCACGAGTCTGCATGCCAAGCTGTCTATCTTCGTCTCAAATATCCTAATGAAGACTTGGATAGCTCTGGTGCTACTGCACCTGGCCAGCAGCAGGCGATGCAGCCAGCTTTGCAGCAGCAGCGCCAACAGCAATTCGGTGTACCGCAGGTAGGCTTTTCATGTTCGTCAGCGTGGCGTTTTGCTTTGTTTTCTTACAATGTGCCTCACGTTAAGGAGACTTTACGTTGAAGGCTTCTGGGGTTTGTGCACTTGTGTATTGGTGCACAGAGAATTCAAGGGGCGGCCCATTCTGCCCAAGCAGCTTTTCCCTTCGGATAACTCTCAAGTGACTGTAATACTAAATCTGTTGGGTTTATCGTGCGTTTCCGTTTTCATTACCCTAACCTTATGCAGGGAAGCATTCGCTAGGGAACTTTGCTTAGCTGTATTTAGGACTAGCTGCAGTAGTACTAATTGTCAGCGTCTAGACGTCACCGCAGGCAGCAAATAAGGAACGATATATAGAGTAGGAAGCGCTGCCTAATAACAGTATAAAGTGTGGAAAACACTGTCCAAAGGCGGTACACAAGGCAATGAAGGCGTTGCTCTTGGATAGCTGCAATTTAAGCGTTTTTTCTAACGCGCACTGCGGATGAGCTTTTACACGGCTCAGCAAGACGGAACGCAAGGTTCCTACAAATTCCCTAACTGCAGGACTCAGCTGCCAGCGTCTAATCATTAAGTGCGGAAGGCAATGGCTGAATATGAGAAAGGCTTCGGCGTGGCATACGTTGTTGGTTGCTAATTGTGGGGGCTATTTGGCCCGCCAGACCACTAAGAGCTATTCCCTGGACACTTTCCTTCTCTTCGGTTTTCCGATTGCTGCTCCCAATATGCGGTTCTAGTTGGCCGGCGGCACTTACGGCGTCTGCCGTCTTTGGGTTGTGAATATAATAAGATACTAATTGCCGCGCTTCGGTAGAGGGCAGTAGCACTTTATTTAGGCTGCTCGCATGGAGGCCGCGAACCAGCGTGTTTTGCTCGCTCAGTCTTTTCGGGGCTTATGATCCTTTAGGGAGAGGCTCGTGAATAGCCGGTTGGCAACGCCACGTTGGGACATTATAGGGGTGCGTGCGTTGAAAAGTGCAGGGAAGCAAATATTGGAGATTAAGCTTGTGTTTTGCTTTCCGTGTGCGTTGTCTGCTAACTGGTTGGCACTGAAAGTAATAAATTGCCGAAGGGCTGCAGAATTTCTTTCCTTGAGCATGTGCCGCTTCCATTATCTAATATTTCTGGCATGGTACTATAGGGAAGCACTGCTTTTTTTATGGGGCGTTCTACGCGGTATTTAATTGTTCTGGTGGCCACCTAGAGGAAGAGCGGGCTGTGAAATCGTGATGTATTTATTACTCATAGCGAGTACAGGAGCTTTGGACAATTTCATAACCGATATAGAATTAAAATCTAGGCATTTTGACTTATTTGTTTTGCGCCCGCTTCTCCTGAATTGACTGGCACTTCTACTGAAGGGGATGGGCTGCACTGGGTTTCGTTTTGGTTCATCTACAGGTCCCCAGAACCTGCTGTGACCACGCTTATGTGGTTCATTTCTCTTAGAAACACGTTTGGCTCTATAGTTGGCTAATTTTGAACAGTGCCAGAACCGTTAAAAGCAGGAAGTGGTGGCTCCCCGAGAGAACCAAAAAGCAGGAAAGGCATGGCGTTACACCAGCACACGCAGAGATAGGCTGATTTTGGGACGTTTACAAGAAAGCTGGTCCTCATTACCACCAGCGCACATTACAGCGCAATGCTGGAAAAGACTCGAAAAACTGCTCAACGCATTGTAGATTCAGTACCAGAGCACAGCAGATAATACATGCTGATTGCAAATGAAAGGAACGTTATTAATTAAAGGAGCCACAAGCAAAAAACAAGATGAAGCTCTCCTGTGCTCGCCGACCAATATGCTGTAGTCTTTTTTAACGCATGTCAGCATATATCAAATACCACACTCTCCCAGTTAGCCGGACCACTACTACCAACTCACCAGCAACTCAAAGCACCTTCCTCTTGCCCTGCGCCAACCCAGTCCTCGTCCTGCACCGACCCTCCAAATCTGAGTCCCCCTCGACCTACAACAGCAACGCATCCTGCCTGCAATCAGCCTTGCCTACTGCCTTGTCCGCACGCTTTCCTTGCTCAGTCTGCCTCTCCCTGCTGCGAAACACCCCACACGCATCCTCCACAGCCTGCCTCTTCAGTGCGCAACACGCAAAACAACGAAAATGTCGAATGCGCCAGCACGCGCTTTAACGCCACGAGAAACTCCAAAGCCCGCTTCGCGTCCTTTTGCCCCCCTCAAACACTGCATTGCCCCACCACTCCTCAAACGTGCCAAGCCCTTAAAACACACAAACCGCTCTCTCCAACCAACCGCACCGCTACTCCCCACTGACCAGCACCGCTAACAACACTGGCTCAACAAGACGCAACGCTGAACCAAACAAAACGCCCCAGCGGCCTCAAACACTGTCCGAACCAGGAATTGAACCTGGGTTTACACGGCCACAACGTGTTGTCCTAACCTCTAGACGATTCGGACCAATGGTCACTCCCGTCACCACCGACGAAACGCACTCGCCGCTCCTCTGCCAAACACTGCAAATGGATCTACTCCGCGTTAACCCAGGGCTCCCAACGTTCTACAC